ATAATGAGACATGAGCATCCAGACTTTGATATCTGCATGGACACCTGGAATCAAACCCCAATTGATGCCAAGCTCCTTTTGAAGTTAAAAAGAAAGCTGGAATGGATTCAATGCTCAACTGGCATCAGTCTACTTGGCTCCATCTATGTGTTATTCTCCAGCATAATGAACTGTTGATAGCCAGGCAAACAGAGTTTTTTTTGTTTCTGTTTTCTCTCCATAGCTAAAGCTTGAAAAATTATTCAGAAGATGAAGATGCCATTAACACTTGTTTTATTAATGATTGAGATATACACTTCATTGGCCCAGAAACCAGGTACACCAATATGTTCTTGCTTTGCAATTGTTAAATTTGAATCATAGAGCAGAAAAAGCACATACTGAGGGGAATTTAACAGACATTAAGCTCATGTGTCTTAACAAAGAGATTTTTTTGTTTTTTAAAAAAGTCAGGATATGGACATGGGAATTTCACAAAGTGCCAAATGTGTTGGCTTTTCAGCACTAGGTAAATATGATTTTAAATTAGGCCAGTCTGTCTGTTTGTCCATCTATTTGTCTATCTGTCTACAGCAGTGTTTCTCAACCTTCCTAACACCACGACCCCTAAATTCAGTTCCTCAAGGTGTGGTGACCCTCAACCATAAAATTATTTTTGTTGCTACTTCATAACTGTAATTTTGCTACTATTATGAATCATAATATAAATATCTGATATGCAGGATGTATCTTCATTCACTGGACCAAATTTGGCACAAATACCCAATATACCCAAATTTGAACACTGGTGAGGTTGGGGGAGGGGATTGATTTTGTCACTTGGGAGTTGTAGTTGCTGGGATATATAGTTCACCTACAATCAAAGATCATTCTGAACTCCAACGATGGAACTGAACCAAACTTGGCACACAGAACTCCCATTACCAGTAGAAAATACTGGAAGAGTTTGGTGGACATTGACCTTGAGTTTTGGAGTTGTAGTTCACTTACATCCAGAGAGTACCGTGGACTCAAACAATGATGGATCTGGACCAAACTTGGCACAAATACTCAATGTGCCCAAATCTGAACACTGGTGGAGCTTGGGGAAAATAGAACTCGACATTTCGGAGTTATAGTTGCTGGGATTTATAGTTCACCTACAACCAAAAAGCATTCTGATCCCACCAACGATAAATTTGGGCCAAACTTCCCACACAGAACCCCCATGACCAACAGAAAATACTGTGTTTTCTGATGGTCTTTGGCGACCCCTCTGGAACCACCTGGCGACCCCCTTAGGGGTCCCGACCCCCAGGTTGAGAACCACTGCTCTAGAACATGGCCATATAACCCGAAAAAACCCACAAGGACTTAGTGATTCCAACCATGAAAGCCTTCGACAATACAATGCTGATTTTATTGCGTGTGATGAAGTCCTAAAAAGAGTTAACAGTCTTTTCACATCCCTAGGCTGGTTTCCTCCACCTCCCTCTTCCTCTTCTCCTTTATTATTTTCATTGAAATGAAACCTCTCATTTTTTCTCTTTTTGTCTCCCTGCTTCACTCTCTTCAAGCAACATCGCTCATTCTACAATTTGCACACTTCATTATTGGATCATGAACAGTGAAATATAATAATCTGCTAGTTGGGTTGTTAGCATTTAGAAAAGTATGCTAATTTAATTTGGGCCTTTAAACTTTGTATTACCTGTCAGTTTTGCTTAAGCGGGCATTCATCTTAATAAATTACCTGACTAGCTTTTTAAAAGGTGAGTATAGGGAGAGCATTAGGCTGAGGAAACTACTGTAGTGGTTAGTATTTTGTCAGCAATTGTTGCTGTGTCCTGTTTGCTCTTCAGCTTGTTTTATCCATGCTTTTCAGACTATTACTGCATGCTGCGCCATAGTCAAAAGTATTTAATCTAAACCAGGATCACAATGGGATTTTGAAAGATTGTTTGGACATTTCTTGAATGTCAACGTCAATTTGAATCTGCTTTCCTGGGGTGAAATCTTGCATATAATTATTCCAATTGTAAAACAGAGTGGACACATAAAAATGTTTTAAAAGGTATGATTCAGTGTCTTATTGTCATATTAGATATCATCATACGCATATTAACACAACTTTAAAGCTACTTTCCTGGTTATTATCCTGATGAGTGCACCAGCTAAATTTTTAGTAAAAAAAAAAGAAAAAAAAACCAACAATAATAGAATCATAGAATCAAAGAGTTGGAAGAGACCTCATGGGCCATCCTTCTGGGATCAGAAATAACGTAACCCAAACTACTGTTTGTGAGATGTTATGATATACTATTCCCACATATTCCCCATATAATTTATATTGGAGTTGTCCATATTTCTTTGGAATACTTTGAACTGTTTGACAGAAATGACATTAGGTAACTGTTTCCACTTGTTGGCAAGGTGACTCATTGCTTCAGTTATTGCCTTAGAGAAGGGTCAGCAATTGGCAACTGCTTTCCCAAACATGGCCCAGTTTTCTAATTGTCAAATCATGGGCAAAGATGAACGTTTAGAAAAGTGACTGTTGTTACAAAGGGACTTACCAGCTCCTTAATGTGTCACCCTCTCTCCATTTCTCAAAGTAGCCTGCTACTATTATTTGCTGTTGATACATAGAACTTGTCATAGAATCACAGAATCAAAGAGTTGGAAGAGACCTCATGGGCCATCCAGTCCAACCCCNTGGTTGTAAACCAGCTCAGTTATAATACACAATCTTTTGGGTGAGAGAGTTCAGACTCTCTTGCTTTACATAGAGCTTCTGATGGTAGAGATAAAAACTGCTAGAAACATGTTACTTTGGATAAATATCTGCATGTACATTTTGTGTGCATTTTGAGACTTTCTTTAAGACCATGGCAAATGGATGGACACAATACACATCAGTGCTCCATAACTGGTCATCACACCACTGCTTTTTGCCAGTCTCCAGTTACTCTGGCAATCCTTGGAAATGAAATAACAGACTGTTTAATAGGTAAAATGAAAGAATTCCCTGCAAGACAAGTAGATGTGCTAGATGTGGGTGGAGAACAGAATGGTGACATAACCTATGATAATTACTCGATATGCATACACTCTCAACTTATGAAAAGGATTGTTCCCCAGATTAGCACTGTAATTCACGCAGTAGATCAGCTTCTTCCAAAACAGTGACCACCATGGATATGTCTACATTTACTTAACTGATCCAGGATGAATGGCTCCAAAGCTGCCTTGCTGTCATAGAGTCCTTTGCCCATTCAGATGACCAGCCAGGCCAATGTCATATTAGAGCTGTTGAGACTGCTGCATTGCCAGCCACAAGTAGCTTCTTGCCAGAGAGCTATTGGTGACATTGCATTTCTGGTCTCATTACTGGTCACCCTGATACGGTCTCCCCAGAAGTGACATTGTCAACAAGTGTCTGGCAAGGAGCTGCTTGTAGCCAGCGATGCAACAGGTGGTACACTGGACTTTTATTCTTCATGTAGCCTTGACTGATTTTACATGTAACATGTTTTCCAACCATACCTCCATTTCACATATAGTTACACTAGCATTTTAACCTTCATTCTTATAACCTCTTCAAGTGTTATGTGAGAAATGCAATCATTGCTTCAATACCTGAACACTTGAGTTTTGCTTAACCTTATCTTTTATTTTCTCCCTTTTAGCTCTCAAGACTGCAGATATTGTGTTTTTGGTTGCCAGCAGTAATGCATCTTCCCCTTACATTAAAACATTTATTAGCAAAACAATAAATAGCTTACATCTAGGGCCAAATGAGTATCGCGTAGCACTTGCTCAGTTCAGCGATCAGGTATACAATGAATTCCACCTGGATACCTACCAAGGGAAGAATCAAATGCTGAACCACATCAAAAATAAATTGGTGTTTAAAGGTGGCCCTTTGAAAACTGGCAATGCTCTCAAGAAGATTCAGGAGTCGGTTTACTGGAAATCAATCCCAGGACAAAACAGGTCCAAGATTCTGATAGTTATGACACCTCAACCATCTGAGGATGACGTGAAGGAGGCTGCTCAAATGCTACAGAAAGCAGGAGTGAAGACTGTTGCACTGGGGATGGAAAAGGCTTCACGTGATGAACTATTTCTCATAGCCACAAAACCATATTCTTTCTTTTTTCCTACAATGGAAGAACTCAGTTTATTTTCTCAAAACATTTCTGGGATCATTGTTGATGCGTTGCAAACAGATCAGTCAAGCACTACTTCTGTGAGCACAATGAATAACGGAACAGCATTAGAAGGTAAGGAATGAAATATAAGTTTATAAGAAAGTGCTTAGTTTTAATAGTACAAAAAGGTTTTTTTTAAAAAAAACAAAAAACAAAAAACAAAACATACATCTGAAATGTGACTGAAGGTTTGTTCTACACTAGTCAGGTTAGTCCAGTGTAAATCTGCTCTTGGAGGACATACATGCTGAATCTGAGGTTGTTGTCCAGATAGCCCAGGATGGCATCTGCTTTGATGGACTGTCACCTCCTCTGTATCAGTGCTGGCCATGGTGCTGTTCTGGGTGCTTTTGTTGATGTCAAGAGGGAGTGCCTACTCAATCAGAAAGAAGGAGAAGATACAGGCATGATCCATCACCTTTCCCTGCACTGATGAGCCCAGGGAAAAGGCAATAGCAATAGGGGCCAATGTGGACAGTGGTTTGGGCTGAACTGAACCTGATCTTGCTGTCCATGCCCTGAAGCCTCAAGTACTGGAATTTCCAGCAAACTTTGGAATATCCTCCAACTTTGCCAAAAGCCAGACAATGTTAGTTGAAACATCATGGTACCCACCGGAATCTTCTGTGCTTTATGGGGACAGCCAGTGGTCAAATTATGGTAAGAAGGTGGTTTTGGTCCACTGTAGAAAAGCCAAACATCTCAGCCTTCACTCCTGAAAAATGTATTCAGAGCATTTAGGATATATATTCTCAGTTGTCTTACAACATATTGGTGCTTTATTCTGTCAACAATGTTATGAAATCTTGGCAATGAGAATCATATTATGGCCTGATAATGTTGAAAGCTTGTGTCACCTTGTGAGGTCTAGCAATAAGGAGTGGGCAAACCTGCAGGGGACCAAACACAGAATCAGAATTCAGGTCTTGTACAGTGGATTTCCTGCTCTATTCGTTTTGTACCATGCTTGCCTGCTAAGGAACAGCAGTGGAATGAGAACCATTGAATCCATTTTGAGAGGCCACTGTATATTTTCCCTTTTCCCTGAGCTGGGCCTGACCCTGATTGTCTGAAACTCAAATTCCTGCAAAGCATTCTCCTAATACAGAATAGGCTGCAGATTCAGGCATTCTCAAGACTTTTTGACGCCTAAAATTAACATATATCACTGTGATAAGATATATTGATGGTTAATACTGTAGCTTTATTGATGGTTAATACTGTAGATGCAGCAGCAGTTCTATATCAGCCTAGCTGTCCCCTTCCACTCATTGCTGTGGCCCAGTCTGTGTATATTTGTTTTGTGTGTGTATATGTGTGTATATATGTGTGTGTATATTTGCATATATGTGTATATATGTGTGTTTGCGTTTATATATGTGATTTTGTACATGCGTTGTGATTTTCTTTTGGCTTTTTAAGTCCCTTCTGCTGTGTTTTTCAGTGTTTTTATGAGTGATGGTCACTCATTGGCCTAATACATGTATTGTGTCCAAATTTGGTGTCAATTCGTCCAGTGGTTTTTGAGTTACGTATGTTAATCCCACAAACAAACATTACATTTTTATTTATATAGATTGATCAATATGTCCTTTAGCTAATGAGTTTAAGTATCCCCTAAACATCAAATTCAATCAGACTATCACAAGGCTAAGACTCAGGATGTGGCCACATGCAGTCTCTAAGCCTGATTCTGCAGTTTCACCTCTAGAGATTTTGGAAAACTGAATTTTAAAATTCAGCATCCTCCAGGGAGCATGAGGCAATTTTCCATTTTTCTCTTAGTTCCCTGGTGTGACTTGAGGAAGCCTTTCCCCCCAAACCAGAAGTGCTATCCACTTTTTTCTATACTGGGGAAAGACAACTCTCCAGTATTGAAAACATCCCAGGATACCACAGAAGTATGAAAAATTTCCTGAATGGAGACATGAACTATTTGTGGATATGCGGGTTATGGAGGGAGAATTTTCCAAGATCCAGTGAAGTCTATGTGCTCCAAGATTCAGGAATCAGCCTATTGTATTCTAGATCTGTGCAGCTAAAAACAGATCATTGGAAGGAGCTATTTCCAAACATGGGAGCCAATGGATTCATAGCAACATCCTCATCACAATTAAGAAATACACAGAATAGCTAAATAATTACTAACATTTGATTCCATGTTTTCTTCCCCCTACAGCTTGTGATGCTGATGCAGTTGCTGATGTTGCCTTCATAGTTGATGTGGGCTCAACACAAACAAACATTGAAAAGATTCAAATATTTTTAGAGAAGCTGGTATCGTCTCTGGATGTGAAGGAAAAATGTATGAGGATTGGCCTAGTGGCATATAGCAATAAACCCCAGGCAACATCGTTATTGAGAATGGCAACAGACAAAACTCATGTCCTGCAGAGCATTCAAAGTCTTTCCCCAAAGGGAGGAAAGGCCAACATGGGGTCTGTCATTCATTTCACAAAGGAAAAAGTCTTCTCCAAAAGTGCAGGAAGTCGGAAGTCTCAAGGAGTGGAACAAATAGCCATTGTGATCACTCACAGGTCTTCGGAAGATGATGTGAGTGGTGCAGCAACTGCTCTCAGGAGGGCTGGTGTGACTATCTTTGCCATTGGCATTGAAGCAGCTAACGCCACCCAGTTAGCCCAAATAGCTGCTTACCCACCAGAAAAATACCTTACTCACTTAAAAACATTTTCCCATTTGCCAAATAAAACTCAGATATTTCATAAGAAGATCATGAATCAAATACAGCAAAAGCTTTACTTGGACACCAAAAGAGTAGAACTTCTCAAAAGAGGTAAGCTATTGCTAATTAATATTGTTTCAAACCCTTTTCTTCAGTAACAGAATGATAGTTGCTCATTAGCAATCAGCCTCAAAAGACAGTTCATCTGTGTTGCGGTACATTGCTACTAATGGTTTCTACATTTACATCTAAGTATGTGCATTCACTTATTTAAAAGTGTGTTCTTTTGTCTTCTTCCTCCCCCCTCCTTCTACGAGCAATGCATCAGATGTCTTTGGTAGCACCATTATTTTGGGGAATTAACGCCCACTAGATGAGAGCTATCCAATGTTCAATACCTTGGATAGTTCTTTTAAACCCAATGTAGGTTTTTAATACCTATTGTGAATTTACTACTTTGAAGCATCTACGCCACTAGTAGTCTCTGTAAAAAAAAAAAGGTCATGCTCTTCTATCATAGACTATTTAAGAGAATTTTTAATTTCTCATTACATTTAAATCCAACTTTTCTGCTTATTCTTCTAACCCTGAAGGTTTTGAAATATATTCTGCTAAAATATAAAATACATATATTTTAACAGATTTTTGTTTAATCAAAGTGGGCTCCAGAGTACCTGGAACATCTATTTAATTTGTCAGCAGTTTGTATACCTGCTTAATTGGCATTTCCATGCTGGAAATTAATATGTGTTATGGCCACTTACTGCAAGGCTTGAATGTGGTTTTCCCGCTGTTGTATGAAAAAACCCAGATGCATCATTTGAGTATAAAATTATCTTCTCCATAGGATGTGTGGATACAGAAGAAGCTGACATTTATTTTCTCATCGGTGGTTCTTCAAGTATGAATTATTTTGATTTTGCGGACCTAAAATTGTTTTTGAAAGAAGTAGTCAAATTTTTTATGGTTGGACCAAACAAGGTTCGGTTTGGAGTTGTACAGTATGCTGAAATCAACGAGCTGGAATTTGGACCTGAGGAATACAGTAAAACAGGTGAAATATTGAAAGCCATCGAAAACATCCGCCAATTAAGAGGGAGTCCTCACACAGGAGAAGCTTTGAAATTTATTCATCCTTTATTAAGGAAATCACAAGGACAACATTCTAGAAGTGTTCCCTGCCATCTTGTGGTGTTAACAGACCAGATGTCAGAAGACCCTGTGAAGGAACCCGCCAAGAAGTTGAAGAATGAAATGGTCAACATTTATGCCATTGGTATTAGACATGCCAACGAGTCCCAGATTTATGAGATTGCAGAGTCTAAAGACAGAGCTTATTTTGTGAACGACTTTGCCTCTTTGAAACATATAAAGAATGAAGTTGTCAGAGACATCTGTGCTGTAGAAGGTAAGAACAGCAATAAGACTAAGGGAATATATAAATTCCGTAATCGTTTTTGCTATATAACCAACATGTTTTAAAATAATAAAGTCTGTTCCCAAAATAAGGAGAAAAATAGCACTCTATAGTTTCATTCTGAGTACAGTTTAACACAACTATATGATAATAGCAGTGTCCATAATCTGTTCCACCATATTTTATGACCTGCTGTTTTGCCAAAGCAAACAGTCCTTTTAGGATTTGAAGACAAAAAAGTTCCAGTGGGTGAAAGGTTTTAATAGGTCTGTTGATACAGAAATTGTTGGAGGTCTAAAAACCTTAAAGACACCAGATCTTATCTTATAGTGGAAATTAAACAGGGTCAGCTAAAAGCCTCAGTTAATATTTGGGAAACTATGAAAACCAGGCGCTTAGGCAATTTTTCAGAAGAAGGAATTGGCAAAACTGCCTCTGAATAGTCCTTCCCTAAGAAAACCCCATGAAATTAATAGGAACATCATAAGCTAACATGTGACTTGGAGGTAGATGCACCCAAACACAGTTTTTAAGATATAAGATAAGGAAGATGATACAAAGCCTAGAAACCTACAAAACCCTACCAATCAAATGGACTACTCTTTTCAGATGTTGTTAGTCCTAGGAGACAACAGAGGAGATGCTCCAGGTCATCAATGCTTAGCATCCTCTCCAGATTTTCTACCTGCATTGATCTGTCCTAAGACAATTCTTCGAGGTATTGTCAAAGGCTTTCATGGCTGAAATCACTGGGTTGTTGTAGGTTTTTGGGCTATATGGCCATATTCTAGAAGCATTCTCTCCTGATGTTTTGTCTGCCTCTATGGCAAGCAGACCTCACAACCTCCGAGGATGCTTGTCATAGATGCAGGTGAAATGTCAGGAGAGAATGCTTCTAGAACATGGCCATATAGCCCAAAAAATCTACAACAACCCAATTCTTCAAGAGTTTTTTTTAATGCAAAGCCCCACTAGAACATATTTCTTTTGCCTTCCCATGTCAGAATGCTGTCATTTAATGATCGAAATGTAAAATTCCCCAAATGGTCTATTTACATTTCCAAATAAACAATTCATAATGACATTTCTTTTGCTCTTCCTCAAACAGCCTGCAAGGAAAAGAAGAGTGATATTCTCTTTCTGGTGGACAGTTCTAGGAGCATCACCCCAGATAACTTTTTGAAAATGAAAGACTTTATGAGTGAATTAGTGAACAAATCTGACATTGGTTTAGACCGCATGCATGTTGGTGTTGTCCAATTCAGCAGCAGAAGCAAAGAAGAATTTCGTCTCAGCCAGTATGCTACGAAGAGTGACATCATCAGAGCTATTGGGAGAATGTCTCTTATGGGACAGAGCACACTTACAGGAGGAGCACTGCAGTTTGTGTTGGATCATTTCAGGCCTATCAAAGGTTCCCGGTCCTACGTCAAGAAAATTCTTATTCTTATAACAGATGGAGAAGCACAGGATGATGTGAAAACCCCTGCAGAAGTGTTGCGAGAAGAAGGCATCATTGTTTATTCTGTGGGAGTATTTAATGCAAATAAAACACAGTTGGTGGAGATAAGTGGGAAGCCAGAGATGGTGTTTTACTTGGAAGATTTTGACATTCTGAAGCACATAGAAAATGAAATCCTCTTTGGAATATGTAGTCCATATGATGGTGAGTATTAGGGTTGTGCACTTTTCAATTTTTACAAATGGACTCTGGCAAGGTTCGGTTGGTTCGGTTCTTTCAGGCAGCTGTAATGGCACAGACTCTGCCACCATTTTTTTCTGGCCACAACAGACCAGGTAGCTACCAAAAGATACTGTTTTCTGTTTTTTTGGCACATCTGGAGTGCAGAGAGGCAGTTGCGCACCCACATGGATTTTCCTATGAGCCTTGCCTGTTGAGCCAACCAGAATAGAAGAAAGACCTCATGTGTCTTTTAGCCAAACTGATCTTCCGTTTTTCTGCTGCGAGCCGGCTTCTGTGAGAGACAGAATTTTCAGTGTCCCATGCAGCTCTGCTTGGCTCGGTTTGCTTTTTATCTTAAATAACAATAAATAAGCAGTTTACTTTCAACACACTTAAAAAACTGGCTTCCCCCACCTCTGGCAACATGAAACCCAGGCTGAGGAAAGAAGGGAGAATGGAGGGAGAAATAGCCAGATCTCCCTTAAAATCTGAACCCAGGTGGCTTGAGGCTTGAAGGGAAAAATAACCGATTCTCCCTTTTTAAAGCCTGAACCAAGTTGTTTTACTGAGGCTTAGGTTTCCCTGTGTGTGAGGAGAGGGATGAGGGGAAAACCTGGATGGTGTGGGGCATGGGGCGAGCAGCACGGTGGTGCATGTAAAGAGGTCCAAGGAGAAAGGGGAGTCTCGTAAGTTCTCCATTGCCACTAATGGGATGGATCTTCCCAGATATTTTGGTTGACTGATCAAAAATTGATTTTTTTTCCTGACTGGATTCAAATGGCTCCAGAAAAACTGTTCTGGGGGTCCACCAAAAATCAGATACTGAAAACAGTATGAGGTTTAACCAAAATGTACACTCCTAGTGAGTATCGTGCAGCAGGAAACTGATCCACACAGAGGTCTCGTGATCAATAAACTTGATTGGATTTACAAATTAAAATTACACCCAACTCTATTCAAAGTATTAGCTGATGTTTCTGTAGGCAAAAGTGAAAAGGCAACCCCCCCCCCCAAACTTCTTTATTTTGTTTTCATTGATTTTTGTGCAAGATTTTCATATAAAAAGTAATTTGTAAAAAAAATTCAAGAATCTGATCCTCTAGAAAGAAAGTTTTTGAATTTTTGTAATTTTTGCATCTGAACTGAAAGGGATACATATTTATATGACTAAAATGGATTAGAGCATTAGTCAGTTCAAAGGACTGATTCAAAGGACTGATTTCAATTTAAACTTCAGTTATTGTGCACTGTCCATCAGGCCTCCTAGATCTTATGCTGGTGCTTCCCGCCCCACTCCCTGCCACTGGTTTCCATTTGGAAAACTCTTGGTACAGAAGTTGAAAATCTCATGGAAGGTTATAGGATATTTTTGGTGGGGTATCATGACATGTCTAAACTGCTTTTCCTCATTGGGGACAAGAGCACTGTGACTAATATCTACTCAAGCTTTGATGTAATCAAGGCATGTGTGACTCTGATAAATCTGATCTGTTGTGAAATAGATGACTGTTCAAGATGTCATTTGAGTCATCAGATGGGGCAGTACTTACAGTTATTTTCTTTTTCCTTCTCATTTTTAAGCTTCAGTTTCTTGTTATTGCAGATAAAAATGTCTTGTTAAACTAATACATATGGCATGGAACATAACAACTCATGCCATAAAGCCATGCCTTCTGTCAAAGATTGCCAAAAAACCTACAGGAGACATTTTAAAAAACACAGCTCCTTTTAGTAAACAAAAAACAATCAGAATTAAAAGCAAAACTAAGAATGCAGAGTCAATTTGATAATGCCCAGATGTTAAATGTAGACATCAGATAAGACTGCAAATTATTATTCCTTTTAGGAAAAGATTTGGCTCAAAAAGCAATGTTGTAAGTATAAGTACTGAATGACTTAGTAAAGTATTAGTTCATATAAAGTTTGGTTTTAAAAAGTGTTCTTGTCATTTATTTCTGCAACAATTATAATACTACAAAGTAGTTATATGCCCATATCTATCCCATGTCCCAGCACAGATCATCCAAACTAATCCTGTTCTAAGATCTCTTATCATATCCCTCTTTTTGACTTGCAGATGGTAGACATGGGGGTAAAGTTTTCTACTTTGTGTGCACACAACGTAACTCCCATGAGGAAACTTGTAAACTGTAATCATGTCATGGAAGCTATGCATTCTTGTTCAATAACAAATTTGTCAGATAACATTAGTTCAATTTTCATAAAAGGTTTGAGATACTACAGGATACTACAAAAGGAATGAAGGGCAGTAGTACAAACTGTCTTATTCGTTTAAAACATTTATATTCTGCCCTTCTCACCCCAAAGGGGACTCAGGGCAGAGCATAGCATATATACGGAAAACATTCAATGCCGGGACATGAATTCATTATATGCATACATAAACATTAAAAAACATTTGTCTCAATAATAAAATACACTGTTTAAAACTGTCTTGATCATCTTCATCTCATCTAATTGGCCTGGCAAGGTTTCCTATCGCTGCTTTATTGCACTGTCCTGAAAGTTTGGTCCCATAGCCAAGTTTTTACCATCCTTCTAAAGGACAGGAGGGAGGGGGCTGATCTGATCTCACCAGGAACGGAGTTTCATAGCCAGGGGGCAATAACTGAGAAGGCCCTCTCTCTCATCACCACCAATTGCGCCTGTGACAATGGCGGGATGGAGAGCACGGTCTCCTCGGAGAGTCTTAATCTCTGCGATAGTTCATGGTCTTGCACTTGGCTTCATCATCCATCATTCAAAACCTATCTTGCGGTTTTGTAGCTGGTTTTCTTTGAATCCCGCTTGTCTCCTCTCTAAAGTATTATGCCTTTTGCTCCTAAGGTAACCAATTCTTCCCTTCCCGAAGAGGTGTTTGGGAAAGTCTAATTGGTTAAGAATTTGGGCAGCATAATAACTTAATCACCTGACACATTGCTGCCTTTTAATGGTATCAAAAATTTGCCACTTGAGGCAGATATCTCAGACCTGACTCTGACATATAATACCATTTCTAATCATTTGACTTCTTTTACTAAAATAGCATGTTTCATGAAGATTGCCAAAAATGTAGTAACACATTTCAGCAACACTTGAAAAGTTCTGGATTGTCTATTTACTGGCACAAAAAAACCAAGATACTTCCAGGCAAAAGAGTCCAACACTATCAATCATTGAATACCATTTCTATCTTCCTTTTTTTCTTGTAAAAAGACAAAAAAAAAAAAAAAGGAAATACTGGTGGAAAATATAGAAGGTTGTCAGTGGGAAGTGCCATCATCCAAAGCTTCAATAAAATCCTGCTTTGAAACAGGACATTTTCAAGATAAAGGGCTCATCTGGAAATTCCTCCAGCATTAAAGTACCAAAAATATTTTGTTGTCATGCCCAAGTGAATATAGCTTGATGTCTTTATTAACGTCAGTTGGGGTTTGGTAACACAGCAAAGAAACTGCTGCTTTTTCAAACCTTGCTTAAATATGCATTCCAAGCAGATTCTCTCAAAAGGCAGTTCATAACCTCTGCTGGTAGCAAAGGAGAAAATTATAAAGGTTTACTCTGAGATGCATTAATGATCCATTCTTACTATTTTTCTTCTAGAGTGCCGGAGAATAGAACGTCTAGATATTGTTTTTGTCATCGATGGTTCTGGAAGTATAGATCCTAAAGAATATGATATTATGAAAGAGTTCATGATTTCCCTGGTGAAAAAATCAGATGTTAGCCATGATCGAGTTCAATTTGGGGCTGTAAAATATTCTGCTGAGCCAGAAACGTTATTCCATCTGAATAGATATACTACAAAATCAGCAATCATTAGGGCTATCCAAAATGATAAATCTATTGGGGAAACCACATACACAGCCAAGGCACTGCGACACTCGGAAGGTCTTTTCTCGGAGGAGCATGGGAGCCGTAAACACCGGAGTGTCCCACAAGTTCTTATAGTGATAACTGATGGGGATTCCCACGATGCAGCAGAACTTGATGAAGTATCAAAGAAGCTCAGAGCAAATGGCATTATTATATATGCTATTGGGATCGAAAGAGCCAGGCCAGATGAGCTTCTGACCATGGCAGGGTCCGAAGATAAATACTTTTATGTGAATACATTTGAAGGACTAAAACACCTGTATCCCAGAATATCTGAAAAGATCTGCAGTGTTTCAAAACCAGGTAAGAGGGTATTTTATTTTAGCAGAAGTATTATTCTCCAAGTTGAATGTCTAAAGAAGAGATTTTGAAAGCAGAACTATATACATTTTGTTATCAAAGGCTGATTGACAGATTCTTGGAAATAGGATGGGATATAAATAATAAGGAAAAAAGAGTGAAGATAAAGTATAAAATCAGCCATACCACCTCATCAGACAGCCGGCGGCAGAAGGGGGTGGTGATCCGCTTTGCCACGAGGTATGGGGAATCCAGGTGCCCCATGGCCTCGCCGGGAGGGCCATCACATGGAGGGAAAGTGTGGTGTGTGTGTGGTGCGTGCGGCTTTCCCCCATAAATTGGGCAACACTGGAAGCCTCCTGTGTTGCCAGGGTAGTGGCGGCATGCCAATTCTGCCCCTCTGTACACACGGAGCTGACACAATATCGTTTGATAGGAGCTGGCTGGCTCTGTGACTGAACGGGGCTACATGGGCATTTGCTGCCAAATCTATCCCCGTATGATGAGGTCATAAGTAATTTCTAATCTTAAAAGGATTATAATAGGCACTAATAATCATTAACTGCTATGACAACATCCTATGGATTCCTAAGATTTATATTTTGGTGAGGGAATAAAATTATTTGGCTGGGAATTTGAAATACATCATGGTTGCCATATGCTTCTGGGGAGATGGGAATATTTTGGGGAGTGTAAGTAAATTGAATCCAAGTATAAAGGGTTCCTACTGTATGGCGTCTAAACTATAAATCCCATGACTTTATAGAATGTTAACATGCAGTTAAAATAAAAACACAGTGCTATAACTGGGTAGTGTGAAAGGACTGTAATTTTAGATTCTCTAGATTTCAGTGCAATACTATGCATATTTGCTCAATGGGGGTCTCTCTTCCATAACACTCACATAAAAATGAGGGCAGTTGATTGTTATAATTATTATAATTTTGAGTTAAAACAGAATGCTGGAGACATTTTTCTGGTCAGGCCTAAGGCGAACTAGAAGCAAAAATTTATAGAAACCAGGGATCTCATCCCATGAGCAATCCCACATCCTTTCCTCATATTTTCTCTGTCTTTTCCCTGTCTTGTGCCATCTGAAGCCATTTGGAGTCAGGTAGTACCTGACTTTTGAAGACACATTCTGGACTCCGATTCCATGTACTGTGGAAATGGAGTCCCATGGAATTCCACTGGAAGTGGCTTTACATCAAATAATGGCCTCCATAGGAAACGGAGCCCAGAATTTATGGGATGAGGTCCTAGGTTTAAATATGTAAAAAATTAAGAAGAAATGTTTCTTTTATTATTGTACGCACATATACATACGTTGTTGTTATATTTATTTATACCATACTTTTTCTCTCCACAAGGAGACTCAAAGTGGTTTACACTCAAATCTTTTCAATACAGTTTAAAATCTACAAACATACAAACATCAAAACAGAATTAAATATCATTAGTATTTTAAAAATTCAGTTTAAATCCCTAAAAACATATTCAAAGCAATCACAGCATCCCCCGACTTGATCTTAAAAACCTTTTTCTTTAAAAGCCTGCCTGAATAAAAAGGTTTTAGCCTGCCTCTGGAAGAACAGCAGGAAGGAAGGGGACCATTCTGGATTCCCTGGGCAGGGAATTCCAAAGTTGAGGAGCAGCCACCCATGTATCAAGCTTGATCTGGAGGTGGGACTGAGAGAAGGGTGTTTTCTGAAGATCTCATGGCCTGAGCAGGTTCATATAAGGACTTGCGGTCAGCCACATAGCCTGGACCTGAGCCATATATGATATTATAATAAAATAGAATTGAGAAATCCCCCTAAACCTTCACATCTTTTCCTGAGATTTCTTTGCTTACAACTCTTTTTCTTTTGCTGCCGTGTAGAATGTGGGATTCCAGCCGATCTGGTATTCCTTATCGATGGGTCGAACAGTATAAGTGACAGTGACTTTACCAAGATGAAGAATTTTCTGCAAGATGTGGTTCGCCCGTTTGACACTGGTCACAATGTACAAGTTGGCATTGCTCAATACAGTGACAGGTACCGGGAAGAATTCAGCCTGAGCATGTTCTCACACAAATTGGAACTAGAAACCCAAATTGGACGCATTAGGCAAATGGAAGGACTCCAGACTTACATCGGGGCAGCTCTTGACAGTGTGAGGGACTTCTTCACACCAGAAGGTGGCAGCAGAGTAAATGAAAACATTCAACAGATTTTGCTGGTGATCACTGATGGACGATCTCATGATAAAGTGGTGAAAGCATCAGAAGATCTGAGAAAGAAAGGTGTTGACATATATGCCATAGGAGTAGGGAGAATTGACCATTTGCAGCTTAGTCAGATAGCTGGCTCCACAGACAGGAAATACACAGTTGATAATTTCAGCGAACTGAAGGTAATTAAAAAAAGACTAGTTGATGATATTTGTGAGGAAGAAAATAAAACAAGTAAGTATTCTCACTTCAAGTATTCAAATAGTTCCATTTTCCTAAATCCTTGGGGTTTTGGGATAAGTGGGGAAATTGATCGTATTTCTATTGAACTCTCCTGGTCCTTATCCCATAAATTACAAAGGTGTATATTGATAAATGTCCCAATAGATCATCCATTACTATCCTAACGGGAGGAGGGGGGAGCAATGATTGAACATTGCTATATATTGAAGTTTTGTCGTAACTTGGCAACATATCTAGCGAATACTCTAGAAACGTTTGTAAAACCTGATCAACTATTTGGTAATGGATAGTTTGGTGTGATAACATATTCAACTATGCAAACAGCCTCTTGGTTGTTTCCCAGTCTTTTCTTTTACATTTGGGAGTGGGGTTCTCAGTTGTCCTAAAGACTCAATCTATATCCATACCATGAATTTTTCACTTAAGTTATTTATCATTATTATTTATTTATTTACAACATGTCTACCCTGTCCTTCTCAACCCTCGAGCGGCTAACACTGGCAACAATTCAAAGCCACAATATCACAATGTAACAACAATATAAAACCATAAATACACAATAGATTAAAAACAATAACATTAGTTATACAATCATATAGCCGTTTCTATTATTATAATAATCATATGGTCCAGTTTAATGTCCAAACTGTCATTATGGCTGCTAGTCAAAGGCCTGGTTCCACAACCACAATTTCAGTTCTTTTCTAGTTCCCCAAAATTTCACTTTCAGTCATTTATAGTAATAATTGATATTGTTTTCTCCTCCTAAAAAACCTCCAAAACCCAGCATGCTTCATGGATGTTGTTGTGGGAATAGATGTCTCCTCACAAAAGCAAGGTGACCGTGTCTTTCATGGACAATACCAGCTGGAATCCCGCCTTCCTCAAATTATCAATGCTCTCACGTCCTTGACTGGTGTGAGCTGTAAACCTGGATCTCAGTCACAAACCAGCGTGGCACTGCAAGTGAAAAACACAGATCCACCTGTGGCTTCAAAGTTCCAAATTGACAGTGAAAAGCTTTTGAACAGCCTTGCAGGTACCACTATCCAGAATGCATCTCACCTGAATGTGGAGTTCTTGAATTCTCTTTGGGAAACATTCCAAATCAAATCTGCAAATCGAAGAAAGGTACATGCTCTGCCTTCGTCCTTATGTACTCAAAGTCAATCATGTATATAAAGTCCACCAACCATTGTTTTAATTAACTTTTTGCAGGTGCTACTCATATTTTCGGATGGCTTGGATGACAGAATAGAAATCCTAGAGGAGAAGTCAGAAGAACTTAGGGAAAAAGGTATGAGTTTGATGACACCAGAGGGACAATGAATCTTGCTCTGAGTTTCAACTGGAAGTTTAAAGGATTTATTAATAGAAATAAGCCCTTGTCTTTCAAATATGTTCAACACATTGGACAGGCCATTTAAAGTTCAGAATCATACCTAGAGTACGCTCATTGTCCCAATGGTATTACAGCTCCCATTTTTTCCTTCACTGCTCTTCAGTTCTACTTCCTGGATCAGGATTAATATTTCTTTCAGAATACGCACAGAGGATCATATGAGGGTTGAATGAAAAGTAATGCCTCCACCTTCATTACTTGGGTTTGGATGGGAATATTTTAATAAATCAAACGCAGAAATAATCCTTAGAATGTGCTCTTTAACTACCACTATTCATTTTTTGACATAATCGCCAGACAATTGGATACATTTATGCCAACAATGAACAAGTTTTCTGAAGCTGTCACGGAAGAAGTCGATACTGTTTCCTCAACCCATTGTGCACAGATCTTCCGATAGCCAAGCAAAGCAATAATGTGACCCACATGTTCCTGTGAAATGCTGACTGTGCTTTAAATTTGTCTCTGAGTGATACAACGATCATCCTGAATCAATCTGTCAACCTTTTGCTTGTGAAATTCAGTGGTTGCTGTCACAGGACGTCCAACTCTTTGTTTGTCACACAAGTCAGATGTTCGCACCTCAACATCTTTAAACTTACTCGCCCAACAATGCACAATACTCACAGTAACACAATCACCATAAACTGCATTCTCTGATGAATCCCTTTTGGAGTGACACCTTCTGTTGTTAAAAATTCAATGACTGCACTTTGCTTAAGACTGCCTGTGCAGGGTTCCATAGTTTGCACTTTAACAACACAACTGTTCAATGCTAAGGATTCCTGCCAAAATGGAACTGTAGAGGAGAGTTTACTGAACAAGCCAGTACCTGCCGCATACCAGTACTGCCATCTGTTGAAGAGTTGCGAAGGTGGAGGCACTACTTTTCATTCAATCCTCGTATACTGCTGCATAGATTGCAAACATGCAATATTTATGCCCATTCATGTGAAACCACTTCTCTTTTTGAAAATAGGTCTGTCCATCTTTTTTTTTAAAAAAATAATTACACGATCCCTAAACTAGTAGGTGTCAAAGACATTGCCTTGACTTTTCCCAAATCATAGGACTGGATGCACTGATAACCGTTGTTCTGGAAGGACCTTCAAATTTTAATGACCTTCAGTACATTGAATTTGGAAAAGGATTTGAATACAAGACGCAGCTGAATATTGGCATGAGAAATATTGACAGTCAGTTGATCAAGTATATGGTAAGTAATGCATCAGAGGTACATAGATGTGCTCACAGGGCAATCATATATATGCTTCTCAGAAACAAGTCCTAGGCATTCAATTGGTCTTACTGCACAGGATTTTTTTAATGTCAGAAGTGACTTGAGAAACTACAAGTCGCTTCTGGTATGAGAGAATTGACCATCTGCAAGGATGTTGTCCAGGGGATGCCTGGATGTGTTACCATCCTGTGGGAGGCTTCTCTCATGTCCCGGCATGGGAAGCTGGAGCTGACAGATGGGAGCTCACCCCATCTTGCAGATTCGAACAGCTTACCTTCAGATCAACAGTTCAGCTGGCACAAGGGTTTAACCCATTGTGCCAATGTAGTTCTCTTTAAAAAAACAACAACTGCACAGGATGGCAAATCTATGGGAGGACTAAGTTGGGAAAGCTTGTTTAAAATAATAGGATTTCAGGGTACAATGCTATGACCTCTAGTAACTGAAGACCACTCTCTCCAGTGGTAGGGTGTTTGTGTCAGCCATCGGAGGTAAAGATCTAAACAATCATGCCCAATATATGACTGTGATATGATAGCACTCTGACATTGGAGAGAATAAAATAATTTGCTGGAAGAATAGAGTCATAGTTATGCCATACATTTTACCTTAGAGTTTTCCAGTCCTCCTCTGAGGAAGGGAAGAGTGCCTGGAATCTGCTGGTCTTAATGTCTCCTTGATTGCCTTTTCCTTATGTGTCACATCTTATTTAGATTGTAAGCCTGAGGGCAGGGAACTGTCAAATTCATAATGATTTGTAGGCCACCCTAGGGCTGTTTTGACTGAAGAATGGTGTATTTGTACTCTAAGCAAACAAACTTAACCCTAAGCAAACAAACAAGCAAGCAAACAGCTTGTAGATTACAAAACCTTGACGTCATTTACTTATTTTTTCTCTTTCCAAGACCAACATTGCTGAACGCACCTGTTGCTGTGTGTTTTGCAAATGCATTGGTGACGCGGGAGAACCTGGTGAGGAAGGAAGATATGGGATGGAGGTAAGGAGGACAAACTTCATCTTGTGTATGGATTTGAATTACATAGGAAGTGCTCAAGCATCAGAATGCTGTAGTTTCACAACATTTGCTTTTAATTGCCTCCTTAATCTTTCCAGGGTCTTCGAGGACTTAAAGGAAGCCCTGGACATTCAGGAAATGAAGGCGAACCTGTAAGCTATTAAACTGTAATTATAGATTTCTGGTCTGACAAAAGAGTATATCAAACTATGGCCAGGATCCAATGAACATGCAATGGTTTTCTTAAACTAATAGTAACGTTGTGTTATGCTGTCCTCCAAGTTCTAAGAAGTGCTTTCCTTTTGTAAAAGATGTTTCTGTTCTTCTTTTTAAATAATGAATCTGCTTTAAGATAGTGGGTTTTTTCCCCAGCCATGATGCATTTCAACCACAAGTGGACCATAGAATTATCTTGGAAGGCCCAAAGATTATTGAGAACAATTATCTAGGTATTGGTTGGCCCCTCAGCATGATTCTGTGGACAGACTCTTGTGGAATTTGACCACATAATCTCATCCATTGTTTATTTTTACAATGAAAGACAGAACATTCAAGCACACCTATAACATGGCCACCATTGGTTCACATAGATCAGGGATTTGAAAGCTTGGTCATTCGGATCTTTGGTTCTGTGACTCCCATAATTTCTTATCACTGGCCATGCTGACTAGGGCTCTGGGAGGAAGTCTAAGGATCTCATCACATGGATGAGGTCCAGTTCTGTGATTTGTCAGGCTCCTTGGAGAATCCGGGTGGCAGTGTGGCAGCAGTGGGGCAATCCCGGCACCTGGCCGCTAGCTGACACTTTCCCATCCCACGTGAGGAAACGTCACCCACTCTGCCAAAGTCCTGTTTCTTATGAAACATGGAGCAGCTTTTATGTTGGTGGCGGTAGCATCCCACCACACTGACTCCCCACTTTGCCCACAGAGCCCTACCGGAAGTCAACCTACATCATATGTGTAGCTCCATAAATTAACTGGGACATTTCTTTTGGCCCATCTGATAAGACTGTAAGTCTTTTAGAGAGCCAAAGTTTAGAGGTATCTTTGAGAAATATCCACACCTCACATGTGCACCCTCCCTGTCTTAATTATCATTAATCTTCATCATTATCCTGTTGTTATCAGGGTCCAAGAGGGTTACCAGGACCACAGGGAGATAGAGGTTACATAGGTTGTCGAGGTAACCGAGGCCCTAAGGTAAGCATCTATTAGCATCTAGTAGAATTCCCCCCATTATTGTCTTGCATATAAAGCTCATTACACTTACATTTGCTCTTCTAATTCTTTTCAGGGACAGAGAGGAATAATTGGCCGAAAGGTACAGAAATGTTTCTAAATAATGTTCTGCATGTGTGGTGTTTATTAAATAAAGATTAAATGAGCACAAGAGCACCTGGTCTTGTCCGGATTAAGTCTCAGTTTGTCCCCCCCCCTTCCCCCAAATTCAGTCAATTTCTTTTAGTAAAAACTGGCTTACCTTCCTTGGGGTTAAGTGGGAAAGAGAGATAGAGTTGGATGTCATCAGAATACTGCTGACACCATACCTCAAAACTCTAGATGACATCTTCTAATAGTTTCATAAAGATATTAAACAGCATGGGGGATCAGAACCGAGCCTCAGAACAGGTCAACAACAAGGGTGCTGAACTTCAAAAGCACCAACCTCTGAGTCTGCCTCTCCAAGAAGGACTGGAATGCAAGCTTCATCTCAGAGAGGTGACACAAAAGGATAACATGGTCAATGGTAATGAAAGCTGCTCATAAATCCAGAAAAATGAACAGGGACACATTCTCCTTCCAGTTCCCTGTGTGGATCACCTTCCAGGAAAACCAGTATTGCCTAAGCCCCATAGCTAGGTCCTCAGGCTTCCCATAACCATAGTTTTTCTGACCAAAGAAAGGGATGACAGAATGAACTACCTCTTCTGAAAATGTTTAGGAGTGACAATTTGTCTTTTTCATAGATTGCCTAGACTCCTTCCGTTGTTTAACATAAAAAACAAACAAACAAACAATAATCTATTTTCAAACTGCCCAATTATAATCTTGGTGTATTGCAGGTCCATTTTTTGCCAGTGCTTGGGTGGTCCCATAAATCGGCCCTAGACTAATTTTCCAACCCTGAATTCTGTCAACATAAACAAAGATGAATCTGGCAGTTCATTCTTGGTTTTATTTGTTGTTTCAGGGAAACAGTGGAGAGAAAGGAATGGATGGCATTAACGGAGAACCAGTAAGATTTTGAAATTCCCTTTTAGAATTATTTTTCAATTACTGTAAGTATGTTTTTTAAAGGGAAAAACAAAGTAAATCTTTTACAATATTTACAATTGGTTTTATCTTTCAGGGGCCATCTGGGCTTCCAGGAATTAAAGGTGAAAAGGGTGAATCAGGCTATCAGGTAATGGTATTTTTAAAAATTGAAATAAATTGTCAAGCTTTTTACATATTTTTTTCATATGCATAAGAATTGTTGTTTCCATATTATCTGGTTCATTGTGTGAAATATAATGTAACAGATTATTATTTTAAACATGTTGGAATTTTCTTTTCCTGCCATAAACTTTTGAAGTGTCCCCAGTCTTTCTTGAATATTGGAGGGTCTTTTATCTGAAGATTTCTTGTCAAAATGTTCATTTCCACTATTCCAACTATTTTTATTACCCATTCTTCCATTTTTGGTGTATCTTCTAGTTTTCACACCCACTTGCACACAATTCTTTCTTATTTGCTTGTTGGAAAAATCTCTGCCTACTAAAATTATTATTATTATTATTATTATTATTATTATTATTATTATTATTATTATACCCCATTTTATCTCCCCTGAAGGGGACTCAAAGCAGTTTAACATAAAGCATCAGCATAGACATTTAAAATATATAAATATATAAATATACAAACATGATAACAGCATTAAATATAAATTAATTCAAATTCAAAGTTAATTCAAATTCAAAGTTAAAAACCAAAGCAACCCTTGAACTGATCTTAAGAACTTTCATCTTTTTAAAAGCCTGATTAAATAAAAAGGTTTTAGTCTGCTGCGAAAGGACAGCAAGGAGGGGGCCATTCTCTGGGCAAGGAATTCCAGAGCCAAGGGGCAGCCACCCAAAAAGCCCACTCTCTCATTTCCACCAACCATTTGTCCCACCAAAATAATTTTGTCCATTTGTTCCACCAAAATAATTGATGCCTGAATTCTTAATAATTTAAGATCTTTAGCTATCTTTTAATCTTTGTATTGCTCTTTATGTTTAAGTTTCTTTTCTTTGATTTCCAATTGAATTCTGTGCAATTTGGCCCGTTTCTTTTTCTTTTCTATTATGTTGAGTTGCATTGATTTACCCCTCATATACAGTAAGACTTTGCCAAGTCCTAAATTGTGTACGGTTGAAAACGTGGTTGTTCCAGTGTGCCTTCCCAGAATAATGAACCCTCAGCATTATGTCCCCTAAATGCACTTTACACTGATTTAGGATTGCTTGTACGCTTTCACCAAAGCCACATCTCACCTACCTTGTTCATGCCTAGCATTATTATTTTTAAACTTTAATTGCATTTGGCCCAGCCATAGATTTTAACATGTGTGTTGTATTACTGTTATTGTTATTGCTTTTTTGTTTATGAGTTTTATTTTAATTGTTTATTGTTTATTGTTGTTATTGCTTGTATTGATGTGTTGTGGGCTCGGCCTCATGTAAGCCGCACCGAGTTCCTTGGGGAGATGGTAGTGGGGTACAAATAAAGTTTTATTTATTTATTTATTTATTATTTATTTATTTATTATTACTACTACTACGGTGACATCCCTAGAATTGTGTTTAATTATATAATTTCTAAAAAGAACTTTTTTTTGTATATAAACAAGAATGAGAACTCAAATACAAATACAAAACAAGTTTAAGCCTAGTGGATAGAATTAATGCAACTGACACCAATTTAGCTGTCATAACTCAATGTTATGGAATTATAGAAGTTGTCATTTTACAAGATCTTTAGTCTTTTCTCCTAAAGAGTGCTGGTGCCTCATCAAATAACAAATTCTGTGATTTCATAGCATTGAGCCACGGCAGTTGCAGTGGTGTCAAACTGCATCAATTCTATAGTGTAAATGGGATAGGTCTGTGGGCTCTTTTTGGACTAATAAAGATAGAAGTGTAGCTCTCTCATCTACATCAGAAACAAGAATAATTTGTACTGATTTGATGCTGAAAATATCAGTTTTTAAAAAAATAAATAAGTGAGACTGTTGATGTCTGAGTCCAAAGCTGTCTCTTCTTTTTATTTTTTTAAAGGGCAGCCCAGGATCAAAAGGAGTTCCTGGAGAACGTGGTGAAAAAGGTTTTCGAGGAGATCCTGTAAGTTTTGTCGGAATCCAATTTGTGGCTTATCACCCTGGTTTTCCAGATCACTCCACTTTATTCAGCAAGCTAGCCTGTGATATTAATATTATTTTGTTCATCAAAATATGCAGTATTATAATATGGACTGTATCTGAGCTAAAGATAATATTTGTTAGGAATGATTAAACTCTTCTCATACCTAAAATACGTGTTCTATTTAAGCAATTCCAGTTGTGTTTATTCAGAGACATGTCTACATTGACCACTTAGATTGGTGTGGGATATGATCAATAGAGATCAGTGCTACCACTGAGGCAGCTTGGAGAGTCCCTTTCAGCCAAACAGGCTCAAACCAGTGTCTGGGATGCTAGTTCGAGTCTGCTTTTGGGAACAAGGTAGCATCACCCCATATCTACAAGGACCTAGCTATTGCAAAGGTTGGTACTGGAATGTCTATCAACCCATTGGTCTCAGCAAGCTCACCATCTTGGAAACCAAACAGGGTCAGACCTGGTCAGTACTTGGATGGAGACTGCTGTAGGCAATATTTCAGAGGAAGAAACTGACAAAATTGCCTCTGAGTATTCTTTATGGTGACCCCTATGAGCTCCATGGGGTCACCATAAAGAGCTGTGAATACATAGAATTACTGGTAGAAGGCTGAGGGTTCTCTTTACCTAACTGATATATCATACCATTAAATCTGCACAGATGATTTAGACTTTACTGCAGCAGTCATTAAAATGGTTGTGTTAGTATACTGAGGACTTTACAAATTACAGTTGGATGTAATCATTCAGTACTGAATATTTTTTTTAAATAAGCAATATGGCATTAACACTTTTCTCCTTTGTAACTAGGGTACCCCTGGAGTAGATAAGAATGTGGCAGGACCAAGAGGTTTACAAGGGGAAAGAGGAAGAGGGGTAACTTTTTTATGCTCTATTTTTTTTAATCACTACACAATGAAAATCGCTATCTAGGGACCTCTTCTTATTTATCAGTACCCATCCCACAGTGTTGTATCTTGCCTTTTTCCCTAAAATTATCAATTCTCAGTCCAGTTAAGGCAGACTCATTTCTCCTGATGGGTTCTTCTGCTCTCCCTTTGAATAGAGACAAGGAGACAAGAAACATTGTTCTAACCCCATTTCTCCCCATGGGCTTTTCTGCTTCACCCCTTAATGATTTTTTTGTGGATTGCTAACTCTAGTTTCATAGAATCATAGAATCAAAGAGTTGGAAGAGACCTCATGGTCTCTTTAAAGAAAAGATATAAAAAAACCACAATTTCAGAAGGTTAGAATCAAGCAAAAGCAAGGTAGCGATCTCCTTAAGAAGGGCAATTTGTACTGAACACAAATACAAGGATCAGGGGGTTAGAGTTTTGGGGGTTTCCAGGGTATTGATGCTTTCTAGGAGACTGCCCATAGGAACACCCATTTCACAATGTTACCAAAATGCGTCAATGCAGGTGAATCGAACAGATCCTATTCCATGTTTTTATATCATTTTCTCCTGTTTTCATGAAGATCCAGAGTTCAGAAGATGATTTCTCTCCACCTTCTGTTCACCCCTCCCCCATTTCTTAACATGTTCACACATTTCTTAAGTGAAGCATTCTGGATGGAGACAGGAAGTCTCCTTGCGTTGTGTGATGGGTTCTGCTGTACTTCATTTCAAAAATGGATTACAACGGTTTAGAAACAGGGGAGGGGATGCATGGGATAATGTCATTAGAAATACAGTGTAACAAATGGATTATACTGTGCATTGATTGCATGGCTGTGGAAACCACTTCATTCCTATTTACAATCCATGGCAAGCAGGCTAACAAAATAGACTGCTTAAGGTAAAAGTGTGCGGACTTCTATGTAGCAGGATGATATATCCTCTTTGGATTTTATGATGAACTTGAAGGGATGATGGTTATCTAGATTTATTTATATAAATATTAATTTTATATCAATTTACATTCCCAAAATAGGTACAGGACTTTTGGAAAAACCTTCAAAGTTCCAAAATTAAAGTCCAATGCAATTACGAGATGTGCTCATTTTCATTGAGCTAAACTCAACATGGATCTGCCAAATGCAGTGAACATGCAAGACCATCATAGCTTAATTGTAGACACTGACAATTATCTGTAAATATCAGTCATAAATGTATGATCTCATTTTATTGTAAAGTAGAAACGGAGTGCATATAGAACACAATGTATCCAGACTCAAAATACGCTTTTCCTAGGAGAAAAACCAACTGAATAATGGCACCAAAACCATGTTACATGTGTATCTTATATACAATTTCACATCTCTGCAGAAATAAATCCCACAGGGTTCRGAAKCAAATAAGTGGTACAGAATTGTACCTACCAATACRTTATCAGGAAATATGTTCAAGCAAACTCAGTTAAACGGACATCTAAGAGTAACTTGGGGRRGGGGGTACAGTATGWCCCTTGTATYCACAGGACAAGTATCTACAATTTCATTTATCCACWTCCAACAAAATATGTCTTCTCTAGGTGTTTTCTCCAATGGGACTTCACTGTATTMTTGGGGTGRAAGTTCATCATTTCARTAAGGTTCTCTGTCATCTGTCATTCTGTATATCCACTCAAAGTCTGGGAGCACATCWCCCATGGATACAGGGGTTAYACTGCATTGCACATKTAGAGAGATAGAACAACTCTGTGATATAAACATGYATAATCTTAAYTTAGTCATARGGACTGAAGGATAGTTACCCTTTTTGTTYTGATTTGCYTGTTCCTTTTCTAAAATTTGGTAATATTCTGCACCAGGGATAGAACAGCTTATGATACACCTTATGTCCCTAATTTCTGTGATTAGATGTGAAGTTTATACAYATTACAAAATAATGGAACAATGCATTTWTGTRAACATCTGGCTGTTTATGGGGTAATACACTGTAAAATTGGGGACAARGCATACATTCAAGTGACTTGTAACTCACATTCCTTGTTTTGTCTCCAGGGTGAGAGGGGACCAACAGGCCTTACAGGATTGCCAAATTCCAAAGGAGCAAGGGTAAGCCCTAGAAAACCCATTTCCTCGTGATTGAATCTTATAGCAGTTATACAAGGCAGGCAGCAACTATGTGGGGCTATCAGTCAGTAGTCAGTAGAAGTAAATATTTGACTTTCATAAATAACGATTGGAAAATTCTAGATTACAGTTTAGCGTGGATTCTCATACTCAGAAAACAATAATCCCTTGTCTTTCTGGTTGCATCTGCACTACATCATTATAGTTTGATACGACTTTAACTACCATGGCCCTTCTGCTATATAAAATCCACATTGAACTAGATTATATGGCAGTGTGGACTCAGATAATCTAGTTCAAAGCAGATATTATGGAGTATCTGCCTTGATATTCTAAGTTATATGGCTATGTGGAAGGGCTCCATGGCTCCATCCTAAGGGACCTTGGGATCTGAAGCACTTAGGATGAATTCTAAGTACTTCCTCAAATTACAAAGCCAAGTGTCCTATGGAATGATTGTTAAATTAGCATGAAGCTGATATATGAAAAGCAACAAGGGTGGTACACGCTCCCCAGTGAAGTTAGGTCAGCTCCATCCCTCATTTCCTTTAGGAAGAAGCTCAAGACATCGCTTTTGGACTAGTCATTCAGGTAGCAGGCTCAATAGCAATTGCAATGTTTACATGAACTGACAATGGACAGGCTCTGAATTAAGTCTTTGGACTCTGAACTGGACTTGGATATGGCCATATGGCTGATAATAGTGTTTTAAAATTGATTTTTAACCTAATGTTTTTACTTAATGTGTAATAATGTGTTATGCTATGTTTTGTATGTGTTGGCATCAAATTGTTGCCAGTGTAAGCTGCCTTGAGTGCCCCTTCTCCCGGTGGTTGAGAAGGACAAGGTACAAATGTTTGAAATAAAATAAAATGTATTTATTAAGGTCAGCTGGTCCGACCTCCTTTGGGGTGCCAGGTTTACTAACATTTGCATTGAGTGCCCTGTTACTGGGAGCACTCTTCAGAACTTTGAGACACTTGAGGGCCCTTCCACACAGCAATATAACTAAGAATATCCAGGCAGAATAACCCATAATATCTGCTTTGAACTGGAATATCTGAGTCCACCCTGCCATATATCCCAGTTCAAAGCCGATAATGTGGGATTTTGTACAGCTGTGTGGAAGGGGCCTGAGTTAGTTCAAAATGGAGTTGTTACCTTCATTATTGCTGAGGGTGGTGGCGGCTCTTTGAGAAGTATGGGTACTATGCAAATTTACTAGCTTCTACAGACAAATCCTCAGCACTATTCAGTTTTTCTTTTATACAAGTAGAATGCCATTGATGGCACGGAGAGAGGAGACACCCACCAATATTGTTTGAATATACCGCCATTCTTTTTTCTTCTTTGTTTACAAAAGCTATTCTGATCCCACCTAGGGAATAAATAAGCTCTTTAGGGAGTCAGCCATTTTAAATCTAGTGACACATACTTCCAATTTATTTCTAATTTTGTTATAATTATATTATCCCAGGGACACCAAGGTCAAAGAGGTCCTCAAGGCTCTCAGGTATGTATACAAAATTTTGAATCTTACAGTATCTAATAGAATGGTACTGATGGCATATGCAGGTGTAAGTTCAAACTTTGTCTGATTATGTCCTTTTACCATTATTCACTATTTCTATTTTTCTGCAGTAACTTCTTAACCACTCAACTCATTTGTTTCCTATTACTCCTCCCACATGGTCCTGAAGTGGTGGGAGAGAGCCACACAGTTTCTAGCTATTTTCATATAGTCTGGTGCAAAATAACAGCAACATCCTCCTCTGGACATCCAAGAGCTACTACAGAAACCTGGGAGATGACATTGTTGTCCTGCCTCTGGCTATAGGAACATAGCTAGATACTTCATGGCTGTCATTGGCCATAGTTGCTGCTGATTTTAGGTGGATGAGACAGGTATGTTTGACACATTGGAAGGGGGAAGATGGGGAAGTAAAATACTTTCCTCCAGATAGAGCAGTGGTTCTCAACCTGTGGGTCCCCAGATGTTATGGCCTTCAATTCCCAGAAATCCTAACAGCTGGTAAACTGGCTGGGATTTCTGGGAGTTGTAGCCCAAAACATCTGGGGACCCACAGGTTGAGAACCACTGAGATAGAGTATGATCTTAACCACAATATCTATAGTTGATAGGAGCCCCATCTACACTGTCATATAATGCAGTTTCAGAATACATATTAACTTTGTTGAATTGGATTACGTGGCACTGTAGACTCATATAATCCAGTTCAATGCAGTTCAATATGCATTATGTGAGTCTACACTGACCATTGTAAAGCAGCTCAATCTGCATTATATGGCAGTGTAGATGGAGCCTGGGTTAGCAAAATTCAGATCAAACAGGCATTATATGAAATTGTTCTTATTTTATATGTATTTAAGGAAGTTTTTTTAAACCCACATAATGTCTAAATTAGAGCACATAATAAGCCAGATCATAACACTAATTATTCAACGAGTGTATTCATATCCTATAAGATACCTCCAATGAATTCATGGCTCTTTCCCACGTTTACTGTATCTTGAACTGAATATACTGTGGGAACTCTTGCATATGAGAAATCTAACTTTCCATAGAATTCTAGGGCAGGAGCGGGGAACCTTTTGTCATCTTTTGTCAGCTTCTGAAATCTGATATTTTACTTTGGCCCTTCCCATATTGTTTACTCCCAACCATGCTGTTGTAGGTGAAAACATGCATGGAACCAAAGGGTTCCTTATTCTAGAAGTGCTGTGTTATGGAGCAAACCCACATTTCTACTCGTATGAATAGTACTGTATTTTCACCATCTGTTTCTATTAAATAGATTATTTTTTTCATTGTGTAAATACTTAAGAAATGTAGACATGTTCTAATTTATCTAAGAGATAAACATAGTTCAGAATACACAACTTTTATCATTTGGTTATTTTGGACTAAATTCTACAAAATACACTGGGCATCAATCTGTCCTTTAATCTTTTAGAAACACCATTCCCTGATAGTTTTTCAGGGTTCACACATGTTTCTTAACTGATTGCATATAAATCTCTTTGTCCCCTCTTTCCTGTTCTTTTCCGTTCCTGTTTATTTGAGTACTAAAGGTCTTGTTTGCTTAGGATGCACCTAAACTATGAGACAAGGTGTTTGGGATAGGGTGTTTTCTGTAGCACAGCAAAAAGAAAGGTATTGATTTTCTTTTGCAAAACTACATAGGAACATCATGTTCATCTGAACTAAATGAGCCAGGAGGTGTTTTTCTTTGTTTGGAAAGAGAAGGATAGTTTAATCACATTTATACTACCTCAGCTTGTTTGGTTCCTTATTGCTTTAATATAAAAATGTTTTTGTTGCTACAGGGAAGAAGAGGATCACAGGGAATCAGTGGTTTTCCTGGACAGCAAGGATTTAAAGGCCCGCAGGTCAGTATTTTAACTATTCAAAGTTTTCCTTATGGGGGAGGGGGGAGTAAGAATATTATGTAGCCAAGATGTAGGTAGATCCATGCTTTAAAAACTCAATAATTTTGTACTTGTAATTTGGACAGATTTATGCAAGCTTTCTGCATTATTTCCATTTTCATAATGAATCAATTATAGCCTTCTTTAGTAAGGCTATAATTGGTCAGGCTATAATTGGCAGTCTTCAGGAGGAACTTGAAGACGTGGCTGTTCCAGTGTGCCTTCCCAGAATAATGATTCCATGGCACTTTGTCCTCCAAAGCACTTTACATTTTCTAAGTCTGCTCGTATGACCTGTCACAAACACCAGTATCACTTTCCGTTCATGTCCCAGCATATTTCCAATTTTAACTTTACATTTGGCCTCCCCTCTGTTTTTAATTGTGTGTTATTTTATTGATAATGTTGTTTATCTTATTGTCTATGTTTTTTAATTGCTTGTATTGTTGTTTTATTGCTTGTATTGTTGTTGTTTGGGCCTCATGTAAGCCGCACCGAGTCCCTTGGGGAGATGGTAGCGGGGTACAAATTAAGTGAATAAATAATAAATAATATGCACATAAAGGACCTCTTCATATGGCCCTTTTTGGCCGCGACATTTCACCAGCACTGGTCAGTGAAAGGGAAGTCACGCAGGGCAGCTGGTGGTGCCCTGTGTGCCCTCCCTCCTTCCCTCATCATACTGTGGGGACAGGACAGGGCACGTTGGAACCCTGTCCCTATCAGATGGGAGAAAGAGGGGCAATGCACTGCAGTGCATGTTGCCCTGCCCCCTTTCCCCCATTATATGGGGAAAGGGGGAGGAAAGTGCAGGTAGCTCAGTCAGAGCTACCCAAAACAAACTTTCCTCCCTGTAGTGGTGGAGGAGGCACCTTTTGGCACTTCCCCTCCACTTTGGGAGGAATGTAGGTGGGGCCTGCCATGCATCATGTGATGGTGTCCAGTAGGCCCTGTCCAAGCCGCAATTAAAAGCTGCAAAACGGGGCTAAAATGCCCCATGTGAAGAGGTCATAAGACTATTAGTGGAAACAACCAAATGAATGTTGATCCCACATGCTTAAATCCATAAGTGAAGAGTGTATTTGAAAACATAAGATTTACCTCTGTGTAATAAATAAGAATAATGAGAATACTGTGCTACATAATATTCCACATATGGTGATGAACATCTCCCAACACTGTTTGTTTGATGAGCAAATGCTAGTTCCTTCACCGGAGCTAAAGGCTGATTGAGACTTAATCAAATACAAACATATTGGAATGCATATTAGTATTTTGTAGCAAATGCAGGAACACAGGCTCCATAGGTGTTGAGGAATGCTGCTGTAGAGGTACACCCTTATCAACTATCCTCTATGGATTGTTTTTCCATTCCTTCAAAGCAGACTGTTCCCTATTGGGAAGATGGCAAAACTCTCTTTGAGGGCTGGGTTTTTCCTCACCCCGGATATCCATTCCAATTATGATCTATACACTAATGCCTGAATTGTATTGTTGTCCCAACCAGACCCATTTTATAAAAGGAATTTATCTATATGTTGACTCACTATTCAAAAGTTGATTCAGCAGGGCTACATTAGGATAAAGCATAAGTTCTTCCATGAATTAGCCAGTGTTTTGACTCAAAATGGCAGAACCTATTTTTCAGAAATTTGAGATGAATGGTATTGTAGATAGAATATAATAATGCACAAAAGTCTTGGAAGGCTTGGAACTGCAAAACTGGAAACTGTCCTGGCATGGAGTATGTTTTAGACAAGGACATGAAAGGTATAAGATAACACACTAAAAGGCATTTCCTCATTTATTTTTCTTCATAAAGATCCAGCTGAAATGCAGGATCTGTCTCAGCATGAGTGTCCATATTTAGAAAGATGATATAAGATCTACCCAAGGGCTATTCAATTTTAATCTTTTGTATAGATGACAAAACTGTTAGGTGTAAAGGGTGGTGCAAACCCACTTGAATAAGCGTGTGTGTCATTAAGGACCAATAGAGACAAGATTGTGTAATGTATTTTCCCCTTCTGCAATATTTTTCAGGCATGACATCAATTCCTCTCCCTCCTTTTTCAACTTTCTCTTAATACTGCCAAGCCTCATTTCATTTTTTCTCCACCAAGTTTGTATTTTGCCTGTCTAACTCTTTCTCTTTGTTGAAAGCGATCTGTAGGATGATTGTTTTTTAGGACTCCGTGTTTTAAGGAGTAAATTAAAACAAGAACAAGATATATGATGTCTGATTATTCTTCTTTTATGAAATATCTTTCTAGGGTGAAAGAGGAATTCGGGGAATGAAGGGAAGGAAAGGAGATCAAGGAAGCAAAGGGTTTCCAGTATGTACCCTTTTTGCCTTTCCATCCTTTTTTTATATACCTAAGCACTCAAATCAGCTGGAAAGTGGCAAATCTGTTTATTGAACAATTCAGTTGCCATTTCCTGGCCATGTACCCCTCCACTGGGAGGTTTCAGAAGTGGGTCAGCTCCTTGTCCTGCATGGGAGCTCTGTCTCCAACCCTGTAAAGGCCTTTTATATCAGGGGCCCTTAAGAATGCACTATCACAAGAAATGAAGAATTTCTACTGGGAGTGGATCTAGACAGGCCTTTATCCCAGGAGAAGCCACTTTTTAAAAAGCAGATTTTCCTGGGGGCATGTCCACACACACTTTCTGGGGTGGATGTCCGGACATTCTCTCGGGACTATCCCAAGAGAATGCCTAGAGGTCCTAACCCCCTCCCTCAAAGCCTCCAGACCCCTTAGAAAAGTAATGGAAACTTATCTGGCCTCCATTACAGGATTCGGCCAGCTTTCCCAGCACATAGAAATGACACGCCAGGAGTGTGGGGGGGGGGGGGGGGGGGGGGGGGGAGGAGGAGGGAGAAAAATCACTTCCCCCCTCCGCTCTCCTGCTGCGTCATTTCGACATGCCAGGAAAGGTGACCGAAGCCTGTAATGGAGGCTGGGCAAGTTTTCATTACTTTTCTAAGGGGCCTGGGGGCTTGGGGGAGGGGGGTGGGCATTCCACATTTATCGGGCTTATTTAGCCCGGTAAACTGTGGGAATGCTGTCTGGACCGCAGTATTCCAAGAAGGTGTGGAATAAACCCACTATCTAATTAATTTGCTACAAACCAGGATTTTCCTGGTTTGTAGCAAATTAATTCAGAATTGTCCAGAACATTGTTTGGACAGCCCCTCCTTTATTGCGGTAAATACTGCAATAAAGATACTGTCTGGACGGGCCCTGGAACAAAGGCAGAAGCACAGATGAGGTGCATCTACATTGTCTAATGAAGCAGTTTGACACCACTTTAATTACTATGACTCACTGCTATGGAATCCTGGGACTTGTAGGTTGGTAAGTCACCAGCACTCTTTGGTAGAGAAGTCTAAAGATCTTGTTATTCTACAATTTCTATGATTCCATCTCACTGAACAATGACAATTAATGGGACCAAACTACATTAATCCTACAATCTAGATACACCAATGGACAAGCAGGCTTTTCATTGTCCTGATTCTAGTTCTTTTCATACTTTTCAGTACACATAGTCATTGTTATCTCCAGCTTTGTAGCCAGAAAAAAAATTCGGGGGGGGGGGATCATGGAGAGTAGTTCCATAACACAAAATAATTTAAATAGTATGGTTCATTCTATATTTTATATAGACCTAATTAAATCAATTTAATTTTTGCTTCTCATAGATTTAGCATGGGGATTTGGTTAACCAATTAAAATTCATGAGTAAACCAGTTTTTTTAACCTGAAAAAATGGGGGGAGGGGTTTGAACCCCTAGCCCCCCCTCCCCCAGTTATAGCCCTGGTTGTCTCATATGTTTAATCTAGGACAGAGTTGGCTGGGATTTTTGGGAGCTACAGTCCAAAACACCTGGAAGACCACAGTTTGAGAAACACTGATTTAGTGGATGAATATCATATCACACTATTGCTGCTTTAAAACAGTTTTTTTCCCTACCTACCTTGAACAGCTGCAGAACAGACAGAAATTCAATAATGAAGTATTTCTAGCTATGTGCAAGCCTACATTTGTTATTGTTGCCATGAGTGCAGATAACAAACGGCACATTCTTAGGGTGTGAGATGAAATATATAACATTGCACCTCACAAAATCCCAGACACTTTCTATTGTGTTACTTTATTTCCTTGTTTTCTTCCAGGGCCACCCAGGAGTAGCAGGTCCACCAGGGATTCCTGGAAGCTGGGGAACCAAAGGGAGTAAGGTATGTCTTGGCATCTCCCAGCTCATTTTACTTTTCACAATAAAAATGACCAGCCTGGAATTCTGATTGGAAGAGAAAAAAATATGTTAGGATTTGGACCACATGTCAGGTCGTATCTTTGGTTATAAGAAATAATCACAGCAAAACCTTTGAAAATGTATCAAAAACTGAGTCTTGCACCCTTCTCCCAAATTCTTGGTTCTGGACCACATTTCCTGAGTTAACATGCAGGTTGGAATACTATTATACTTTTGATTTCACAGATCTCTAAATTATGTGATGTAGTTCTAAATTTAACAGAACATTGCAGGACAGATCAACATGTATACTTTAGGACAAAAGATGTAATGTGTTCTAACACTACTTATAAACAACCACTTATTTGTGCAGTAACTCCTTCCAATAACAAATGCATAATTAAACTACATTGTGCTTGTTATTTAAGAAAAAAACCCACTAAATCATTAGAGATATAACTTTAACTTTTTACTTACTTTTATAGTTATGGGGACTCAATTTCATTAAATGGAAAAGATCACAAAATTTCTTTGGAAGATACATGTATCATAAAAATGTGAAAACAAGAAAATTGTTTGTTTGGATAATAGATCACTAAGAGGCAGAAAACTATTAAGCATTTTCATTTTTGTTTCATCCCTCCATGCTCATTATTATGTTTAAAACTAGCAGATAATATCAGCATCTGTCCAATCCTCAGCAATTTTCAAAAGAATAGCCATGGTATTATCTTGTACCCTATAAATAAATAATCTTGTAGCACCTTTAAGACTATAACAGATTTATTATAACATGAGATTTTGTGCATTATATCTTGTCCAGTTCTCAATAGTTTTCTAAGAAATCTTTTAAATCTTTGAAGCAGAGTACAGTGTAGTCTTGCTTATCTGACATAAACGAGCCGGCAGAACGTAGGATAAACAAAAATGTCGGATAATACGGAGTCAACTACTGTTACCCATCCGATGCAGTTCTAGACAACTAGAATACTAACAACAGAGACTCAAAGAGTTAAGGCAAGGCCACACCTCGGGGGTAGAGTGGCCCAGCAGGAAGTGCTCGGATGTGGAAGAGGAGCATGGAAATCACAGAGGGAAAGAGGGAGGATGTTTCCGCTTTCGGTCCTGCCTCTTTTCCCCTTTTTCTTCCTCCTCCTCTCCTTGTTTTGCCCTTTTCACTGACTGAGAATGGAGAGAGAGTTGGGGAGTGCTCATTTAATCGAAGGGGAAATGCTGGAGGAAAGGGGGTGTCGGATAAGAGCATTGGATAAGATGAAATGTCAGATAAGAGAAAGGTCAGATAAGCGAGACTCTACTGTACTTTGAAACTGATCAGAGGTTGTTTTCCAGGTTGTTATATGAGCCCAGATACTGTTCTAATATTGAGCTCAGCTGATAGTTCTTGTTACTTACATAGACAGTACCAATTTAAACTAGAGTATCAATGTTAAATTTTAATGTTTAATTATTATCAGTTTCAATTTTGAAGTCTTGTTTTTAAATGTTTATTTGTCAAAACATGATTTTTTTTGTTGTGTGATGCCTAATTTGCTGTAACGTGTCACTGTTGTCTGATGTTGATGTCTAATATGTTAATATTTGATTTATGGTTTATTTGCTTTTTTTTTGGTCGCACTTTATGGCATTGAATGTTTGTTGCTGTATGTTGTGAACCGCCCTGAGTCCCCATTGGGGAGATAGGACAGGATAGAAATAAAGTTTTATCATCATCATCATCATTATCATCATCATCTTCATTTGACAGGGACAACCTGGTGATCCTGGGATGAAAGGGGAGATAGGACTACCTGGATCTTGGGGGATGAGGGTTTGTATTTTATTTTTCTTGTTTACATTTCAGTTTTAATCTTGTTGCCATTTTTGTAGTACAAAAGAATTTACCTTAAGAGAAGAATCAACTGTAAATAAATAAATACTGTATTTTGTGTTTTCTGTTAGCACTACCATGTGCTTTGTAAGCCACCCTGAGTCCCTTTTGGGAAATGGTGGTGGGATATAAATGAAGTTGTTGTTGTTGTTGTTGTTGTTGTTGTTGTTATTATTATTATTATGAATCTGAATAAAACCCAAAACGTATAGAAAATGAGGAGATGTATCTTGCAATGTTCTCTTCTCTCAACACGTTTTTCAAAATCCACCTTTGATTCCTCTGTATTTAGTACTATCACAAAAGAGCACTGTGTATGAAGAAGATGGGGATGAAAAATATAATAACAATGTAAATATAATTTTGTTTCAGGGAGTTGATGGTCCCCTTACCAATGGTGGGGCGGGAAATAAAGGAGTTAAGGTACGTATAAGAGAATTCTTGATGGAATAAAGGCAAATAAAATACAGGCTGGCCTCCAGTGAATGAGTTACGATGTTGGACCTGAGACATCATTACTGCTTTGTCTTCTCATTTGTAACTGTGACACTATTACCACAACCAAGCCACAAATGACTTAAAAGCCAATAATCCAAATGCGGTGTAGGGCAATGGAAGGGAATGTGGCCATTAAGATCATCTGGGGAGGCCCTGCTCTCAGTCCTGCCTGCATCACAGGCACGCTTGGCGGGAGACAGGGCCAGTGGTGGCCCCTCGGCTGTGGAACGCCCTTCCTATAGATATCAGATCGGCCCCATCCCTATTGGCATTTCGGAGGAAAGTGAAGACCTGGCTGTTCGAACAAGCATTCGATTAAGCAGTGTAATGAATATAGGAACACGGATTAACGGATGATGAGATTGGATTCTGATTTTACTGATGAGACGCTAATGATTGTTATATTGATGTTTAATTGTTGATGATGCTATTGTTTTAACTGTCCCATAATCGTTTTATGATGTTTTGCATTGAATTTTGCTGTTGTTAACTGCTTTGAGTCGCCTGAGGGCTGAGAAAAGTGGTATATAAATGAAGCAAATAAATAAATAAATGAATAAATAATATGACCAGCTCTTCCTATCACTAGGGAGTTGGCATCTGGGAGGGGGAGAATGCCATCGCCTCCACCATCCCAGGAAGGAGGTCTCTGGCCCCTTCTACACTGCCATATAATCCTGTTAAAAGCAGATAAACTGGATTTTATATGGCAGTGTAGAAGGGACCTCTTTCTCCTGCCTGCTCCAGACATCTGCACCCTAAAAACTGGGTGCCTGCTGTGCCTTACAGGAGTCAGCATGTTGAGGGAATTAAAACCCTGTCACCTCCACTATCTGAGGTCTGTCTGCTTGTTTGCTGCTTCGGATAGTGTTATAGTATTACCTTTGTCTTTGTATGTGTTTAGTGTTTCATGCTTCGGTGGAACAGGCAGTATTTCAACCAGTAAACATTATTAGCAGTATTGCAGCCAATAAACATTGCTAGCAATAGTCCAGGCAATAAACATGATAGCACACATGGTGCCACACCACATATAAAATACAGTATGTCAACATTCAAATATAATAACATATTTAAAACCAGACAAAAATTTGACAAAAATAAAATACAGCAATAGTCATTGATTTAAAATCCATGCAATTAATTTAGCCTTCCCTGGCTAAAAAATCGTCTGGCTGCCATCTGCTTGACTCATCACTGCTATATGATTCTGTTCAAAATAGATAATCTGGATTTTATGTGGCAGTATAGAAGAAGCCTTAGAAAACACATAGATATGAACAAAACTTGTTATTTTTAAAAATCTTTTTGTGATTTGCAGGGCCAGAAAGGATTTCCTGGAGATATAGGACAGGAGGTAATGTACTTCCAACAAGGTTAAAATAAGACAAGCTGCATCACTACTCCAATGTTTTCACTATGTTTCAATGATCTGGTAACTATATCCACAAAAGAGTGGAAATGGTGTTTCACTGCCGATTAATGGTTTGTAGTGAAGAAATAGCTGTTTGGTAGCATGTTAATTGAAAAAGTACATCAAGAACCTGTCTGGGAGATAAACCCAGTCCTGACAGTCCTGTACACAATTGTGCAGATATTGTTGCTGTGTCCCAGTGTTTCTCTGTAGAAACCAAAGACCTATGATAGTATCAATCCATGATGCCCTCCTCTAGCCGGTGTTGCACTCATTTATTTCTGTCTTTAATGAGGAGCAAATTGCGAAGACATCTAATGAATTATCTATTTTTTTTAAAAAGATGTTAAGCCCAAGACCCATAGCCCAGCTTCTTCTTTTTGTCTCTTTTTTCTATGCAGCGAAGAAAATAGTTATTTAATTAGCCTCTATTTTCTATTGCCCACCCAATGATAGATAGTTACCCAATATATATGGAAAAACTATGAACCATTTTATTAACTATTTAATCCTGATCTACAACAGAGTTGCTAAGTATAGTGTAAGTTCAAGCAAGTGTACCCTTATTTCTATACCAGCACCTCAATGTCAAGCACACAGCCCCAGAGGCAAGCTAATCTAGCTTGTACCTGGACTATCTGATTCCGGAAACCTGAATATGTTGACCCTCCTCTCAAGCCCTAAAGGAAAAATCCAATCAAATCCAGTCCCAAAGATTTGCCCTTTCCTATCCCAAGAACCACGACCCAATGAGAAAGTCTGGAGAATTCTCCATCTCAAAAAAATGCCTGTGTGTGCTCCTATTGATCAAGATTTCATTTCCCTTCACCATCCCACTAAAAGTTCCCATTTCAAAATGCTTGGGATGAGAAATGTTTGGGAATTCATATTTTGGGTAGGTTATGGAGCACCTGTGTTTGTATATACACACCCATAATGAGATATCTTGGAGATGGGACTCATCTAAACATCAAATTCATGTATGTTTCCTATACATCTTATACACATAGCCTATACAATTTTAAAAATAATGTTATGCGTGAAACAAAGTTTGTGCACACTGAACCACCAGAAAGGAAAAGTATCTCCTTCAGCACTGTTGAGAAAATGTTGTCTCTGTCTCAAGTGGATGGTCAGCTAAACCAGGAAATGCCAACTGGATGACCCCCCCCCCCCCCCACACACACACACACGAAGGTGTTCCTCCAGGGGCAAACCAAGAATGGGCAACTTGGAAGTCTCTGAACAGACTCAGAAGTGGAGTGGGCAGATCAAAAGACAACCTGGCAAAATGACACTACCTAAATGAATCCTCCACCTTGTGTGACTGTGGAGCAGAATATACTACTCTACATCTGTGTGCTTATCCACTATGCCCTGCCTCATATACAGAGGAAGAATTGTTGGAGGCTACAGACAATGAAGTTGCTGTTGCCCATTTTTAGTCAAAAGATATTTAGCCGCTTGTACTCCTTCTATTTTTTTAATCAGTTTTATACTAATTCATGCAATGCTTTTGATACGAAATAATAATAATAATCTCAAGTTGATGGTGGAGTAATTCAGATTTCTAGATAAGGGATGGTCAATTCGTACTAATTATTACAATTAAGTGTTAATATAAATAAATAACTTCTAACATATTGTATAAGCCAAAATAGAGCTAAATCTCCATAAGTTGACAGGCAATTTGAAAATATATGCACATACAGACATATTCACCATGATGAACCTGTGCAAGAAAGGCAAAGTGCAGGCAGTCCCCAAGTTACGAACAAGCTAGGATCTGTAAGTTTGTTTGCGAGTTGCATTTGTTTGTAATTGTATGATAACTCTTTCTGGAGAGTTTCGCTTCCAAAGGGTTGATTTCTCTCACTTACTGTTGTCTCACCCTTACAAACTATGAATTGTTTGTTAGTTGGATGTTTGCAACTCAAGGACTGCCTATACTTTCAAAGTACTGCATTACAGACAAAGGAACATTGGAAGACAGTAGAAATGGCATGTAGCTGTGATTTATGACCTCTCTCACTCCATCCCCTCTCCTACTTCATGCTTCAATGCAGAGCTTTCATAGCATAGTTTATCACTTCTTCTGAGAGGGCTAAGGATCTGAATCAGATAATCCAAAGTAAGGGGCCAAAATGTCAACCAATACATGAGCTAAATCTCACAATTAAAAAAATTCACACTTAAAATTACAATGCTGTTTCCTAATAAAACTACATACTCAAGTGTATATACTATGGGAAATAGCATCCAAAAATGCATATATTAATGAAAATAATATTCAAGACACTTTGCGCTTGTGGAGGTGCTTGCCAAACATGTGTTTTAGGTACATTTTCATTCAATTACATATACAAGCACCAATGCAAGCAAAAATATACACAAACTGTACATATTCCAAAATTGGTTTTTAAAACTCTATAATGTTATGTTTGAAAATATTCTAAGAATTCAGCATTCACTTGGGTCTTGGCACATGCATCTTGGTCCATTTGTTTGTATCTGCCCCCGCCCCTCCGCCCCCGATTCTGTTTTGTTGACATCCTTTTGCAAAGCTGTTGTATCCTCCATGTGGATTATTGCAGTCTCTCTTCACATGGAATTTGATGCCTTTCGTGTTTTGTCATCTCCAACTTCCAGTACTCTCTGATCCTAGTTAATGACGCTTCTGGGATCTTAGCATTGCATGACCTTTCATTAATTTACCATGTAATGAATGCCAGAGATTGCAATAGCTATCAGATTACCTTAAATTCATCTAGTCTTGTCTTTCCCTCTTGTTGGATTAATGGCAGAATTTTCCTGGAAGTGTGACAAGGAGTATTGCAGCTAGGACATTCCTATGAGCCTTTTCACTGAAGTGGACTGCAGAGAACATATGACATTTGGAATAGCTGTATTGACCTCACATTTTCTTTTGGAAACTGGTACAAAGTAATGGAGAGCCTGTGTAGTGCAGTAGTTTAAACAACAGATTATGACTTTTAAGGTCATGGACCAAAATCTCCACTCAGTCATGGACATCCACTGGGTGACCTTGAATAAACCTCACTCTCTTAGTCTCAAAGGTAAACCCCTTCTGAACAAAACTTCTCAAGAAAATTCTCTGATAGGATTTCCATCAACCAGAAATGACTTGAAGGGACATCATCAGCACAACAGAAGTAATGGTTTCTCGGGTCCTGTATCCAGGCAGGTTACTTGAAAACCTCATTTTCCCATGTAAAACTCCCTTCTCAAGCGGTTCTGCTTTAACACTCGGGTTTCCTAGCCATTTGTAGTAGAGGAGGGGATTACTCTAGACATGGGCTTTTCAATGATGGCACCGCAACAATGGATGCGTCATCTTTTCTTTCCCATAGATTTCAACCTCAACAACAATGGATGTGTCATCTCTTCATTCCCCTAGATTTCAACCTCAACTTGTTTCTCAACCTGGGGGTCGGGACCCCATGGAGAGTCATGAAGGGGTTTCAGAGGGGTCACCAAAGACCATCAGAAAACACAGTATTTTCTGTTGATCTTGGGGGTTCTGTGTGGGAAGTTTGGCCCAATTTTATCGTTGGTAGGGTTCAGAATGCTCTTTGATTGTAGATGAACTATAAATCCCATCAACTACAACACTCAAATGTCAAGGCAAATTTTCCCCAAACTCCACCAGTGTTCACATTTAGGCATATTAAGTTTCCATACCAATTTTGGTCCAGCTCCATCATTGTTTGAGTCCACAGTGCTCTCTGGATGTAGGTGAACTACAACTCCAAAACTGAGGGTCAATGCCCACCAAAGCTTTCCTGTATTTTCTGTTGGTCATGGGAGTTCTGAGTGCTAAGTTTGGTTCAATTTCATCGCTGGTGGAGTTCAGAATGCTCCTTGATTGTAGGCTAACTATAAATCCCAGCAACTACAACTCCCAAATGACAAAATTACTCCTCCCCCACCAGTATTCAGATTTTTGCATATCGGGTATTTGTGCCAAATTTGGACCAGTGAATGAAAATACATCATATCAGATATTTACATTAAAATTCATAATGGTTGCATAATTACAGTTATGAAATAGCAATGAAAATAATGCTATGGTTGAGGGTCACCACAACATGAAGAACTGTATTAAGGGATCACGGCATTAGGAAGATTGAGAACCACTGCCCTGGATTTTAAAATGATCAATACTGTTTTATTTCAGATGGGATTTGTGGTCTATAGAACTGTTGTAGTGGCTGTACCCCTGATAAGTTTTACTAGTCTATTTGTATTTATTTAAAGTATATACTCTATATTTGATACGGTTTTGTTGCTCGCCGTGTGTGTTTGAATTTGATTCATAAGTAGAAAATCCAAGTGGTCATTTTCTTCTTGTTTTTAACATCGGTGGTTTTTGAAATACATTAAACTTAGGGCGACATTGGTGACACTGGAATTCCAGGAGGACATGGGCCAAAAGGGATTCGTGGGCAAACGGCAAGTGGAAACCTTATATGTTATCTTAATTAAGTTTTTTAAACAATCCAAGCTGTTTATGATATTTCATTGGTGCCTTCACAGCTGTGTGTGTGTGTGTTGGTTGTGGGGTTGACACTATTTTTTAAATAACAGGTAGAAACACAAAACTGATTGTGCCAAATGCAAAGCTAAGAAATTTTACTCTTCATTTACAATTCCTTCAGTTCTCTATGCAATGGTTATGAGAACTGAGGATTCTCCATTTAGGGTTGATGAGAAGATGCTTGGCTGATACCTATTAGCCACTTTGGGCTGATGCTTAGTTGTAAGTGACCAAAGAGATGATTGAACAAGACAATTCTTCTCCAAGTTATTTTTATTTGTCTCTCAAAGCTTAATTTAACAATAAGTGTAATGTGTTCATAAAATTTATCAGTAGAAATTGTTTCGTATGGTATCAACCAAGATTGCTCCTTTACACTCAATGTTCACAATATTAGCATGGATTATTTATTTTTGTTTATTGCTCACTTACAAATAATATAAACTGCCATTCAACCAGAAGAACCTCAGGTTTGTATACTTAACATGTTAAAACAAGCATGGGCAAACTTCAGCCCTCCAGATGTTTTGGACTTCAACTCCCACAATTCCTAACAACCGGACATGAACTCCCACAATTCCTAACAGCCAATAGGTGTTCAAGTCCAAAACACCTGGAGGGACAAAGTTTGCCCATGCCTGTGTTAAAAGAATGAATGAAGTATTTTTTAAAAAATCTTGTGATTACCTATTAAGAGGCACAAAATTTTTAAAAAACTAAATAAAAAGTTGAAATCAAGAAATAAAAAAATGGTACTTTAAATCATATGAAGACTTTATAGTGTCTTTCTCCCACTGGTGATACAGTCAGCATTCCTTATGTATGGGTAAGCTCCTGTCTGTCAGCTCCAGCTTCTTATGCAGGGACCTGACAGAAGCCTTCCATGGGATGGTAAAACATCCGGGCGTCCCCTGAGTAAGGCCCTTACAGATGGCCAATTCTCTTGCACCAAAGGGGACTTGCACTTTCTCAAGTTGCTCCTGACATACAAAAAATTAAAGTGGTTTCCTGTACAAATGAATGGAAGTGGATTGTAGAAAATAGAGGATCAGAAACCAAATACCCCTGCATAACATGAATTGCGCAGATTCCAAGGACAAGGAATTGAGGATTAAGAGACTTTTTCAAACATTCATAAGTAGTAACTTATGACTGTTATTACACCAGATCGCTTATGGTATATCATTATTGACACCATTCACCTCTCATGGGGGCTCAAAAGATGTGGCTAGATATTTTTTTCAAAGCCCCCCTTCTTTATTTTAGGGTCCTGCAGGTGCTACTGGCCTGAAGGGGACACCAGGAGATCGAGGACCTCCAGGACGAAGGGTATGTTAACCTGTCACAGATCCGGTATACAACTTGATGAGCATTTAAAGTTTGCTGAGGCACAAGCACTTTTCAGCAGAGAAAGTTGAAGAACTTTTAAAACTTTTTAATTCTACAGTTTAAATGCATCTCATGACTACCATTTAATTAAGTCCCTTTAGGGATTATCAATCCTCTAAGTGTATTCTATGATTAAGCACTAAAAATTACATCATGTAAAAATTACATGATTTTTGTTCCTGATTGGTTGTATCATTTCCTAATTGGTTCTATCATAAAACATGGGAAAAGTTTATTAATCTGCAAAAGTATCCTGCAGCACATTTTGCTCTAGTTTTTCAATGAATAGCTCGAGTTTCAACCAATTCAACATGGTTTGTGGCAGTCACAAAAACAAAGTTTCTGGAGCATAACAACTACTTTTAGAGTAAGAATTGCACAATTAAACAGGAATAATACTTCCAAGACAGGAACAGAAAATTTTGGTACATAGTGTTATTAAGAGAGTTGGACCCAGGTCTCTGGAACAACAGAAAACAAGTTGTATCTGTCCCCTTACTGTTAAAGAATGTTTCAGTGACAATGGATGAGGATGTGCCATCCTTCTGTAAGTAAACAAAATTAATAGCAATCTGCCTACCAATGTTGAACCACCCCTATTTTAACACAGTTCTGGGGTTCCTATATTTCACTGTGATTCACGGTGAAATTATAGCATGCCTTTTATTATGGAAGGCTGTTGATGAGTAAGGAATAAGAACCACCTTACTTAAAAGGAATATGGGTTACTTGCTCCTTCTTGTGTTTTTATTCCATATGAAAGATATGCATCGAAACTTCTTGGTGTTGCAATGATGAAAGCTCCAGGAATTCTCTGAGTCTGGTGTTAATAAAACAATTGCAAATGCCAATAAGGGTCCCTAACTGTTACATAGCTGCATAGTTTCAAACCATGTTGAATTTCTAATTTATATCACCTCATAAATTATACACATTTATAGCATCTCATAGGACATAAAATAACAGAACCATTCAAATTGCTTTACTAAATACTTATACTCTGCAACGGTTGCACCCCCCCCCCCTTTCAATTTCTTAGCATCGGCAACTTTGCATGGAAGCAAGTTCTTAGGAATTTACACAAAAATATCCATTATTTTTCTTCTTTTCTTTCAGGGTATTAAGGGTGAAAAGGGTGTTGCTTCCTTTTCGGTATGTATTTACAACAGAACCCTTATCCAATTGGAAAGATCCTATACAATATTTCTGAGATAACATGTGATCCCTTCTCTCCTTTCCTAACTCTACAGCCCTGTGAGCTCATTGCTTATATTCAGGAGCACAGCTGTAAGTAATGATATTTACTAGTTATAGGCATGTATGTGTGTATGAATAAGAGTATATATGATCAAAATAGTCTATAGTTTAATGTAGACTCCTACATGGCTGAAGCTACAGTTGACCATTCCTCTCCACCCCTATATCAATTCCATGTATATGGTAGAGAGTAGTGGCAGGGGAATTGTTCCCATGGGCAGATGTGAAATGACTGAATTATCCACTGGGGTCTGTCAGATTCCCCAAGCAGATGGCTACAGAGCATAACCAGATAGATGCTTTTCAAACACTTCTCCCCTTGTCCACCTCAGGCACAGCATGGCCTTGGAGGGAGATTCATTGGCTCTACAGTCATTCAAGAAGGGTGCTTTGGTTGCTGTAGTGTGGAGGGAGGAAAAGAATAAAACTCGCCCCCGCCCCCCACAAACACATGTCTAAGATTGGCTTATACGTATGTATGGCATGAACAAAGGGTTAGGCAATCCGCTACTCACAGTTTATTGCTCTGTTTTATAGTGCATAGTGGACCAAAGAAGATGATTTGATCCAGCATTTTGGGGTGTTCTTTGGCACTTCAGTGAAAACTGTACTGCCAAATAGCTAGTTGAATAGGGAGCCACCTCAGTCTATTTACGTAGTAACTTTGGGGTGCCCTATCTGCCAGAATTCGTTCTTCCCCATTGTTTAGCAATGAGGTGGGTGGATGTAAGATGGTAAAACAGCAGGACTGTGAATGTAATCTAAATAAGTGGTTCCCAACCTTTGATCCTCCTGTTCTTTTGGATTTCAACTCCCAGAAATCCCAGGCCTCTTGCCAGCTGTTAGAAACTGTAGGAGCTGAAGTCCAAGGATCTCATCACATTGAGGTCAGTGATCCAGGCGATAGCAATGGGATTCACCATGGATCATTGCAAATCTGGTGTGGGGCATAGGGAACTCATCACCCAATGCACCACATCACCTGCATCACCCCTTCATCATCCGACATGCTGCTCGGCCTCCTTCCTTTGTTCTCTATGTAACACAGGAAATCTCCCATGTTGTTGATGCTGCCTCTTACAACGGTTCGACCTCACTCCAGGCATGGAGCCCCGTTGAAAGTAGATCAATGTTGTGTAATGGAATCCAGCAGGCTCCGTGCCTGAAGTGAAATCTAACTGTCATAGGATAAGCAATTTTGCCCATCTGATGAGGTCGCAAAACACCTGAAGAACCAAAGGCTGGGAACTACTGATCTAAATGATTAATTTACAAAAAAATAATATTGGTGTTAACTTTAGAATATTGATTGTATAACAATTATACATCATATTTTTCTTTCTTTTGTTTAGCTTGTTATGAAGGTGGGTCTTTAACATAATACTGCTTACATTGCCAAGTGTGTTGGTTGAATGCTACTTCTTACAGTATGGCCATGGGATCATGAAGTCATGGTATGGCTTTATGGTATGGTATGACCTACTTTTGCAGGTACTCCATGCAAGAAGTGTTGACTTGTTTACTATGTAGAAATGTATGGAAACAAATGTGTGGTTTCTCTCCATGGTAACATTATTGTGGCAACTTGTAGGGGATGGGGCCAACGTGGTAAAACAGGGATGGGAAACTTGCGGCTCTCAAGATATTGTTGAACTACTATTCCTGCCATATTGGATGTGGTGACTAGGGATGGTAGCAAAATGATAATGTATTTATATTTCTCCCCTTTATAAATAATACTTATACTTGTTTATATTTTAAGCACTTACATTCAGCAGGATAGTCCCTTAAATGTATGAATTTGTGCTTTCGTCCAGAATTCTTTTTCTGTGTTATCAACTGCTTTGTTTTGCATGCTAGGAAGACCGGAATGCCCAGTGTATCCCACTGAGTTGGTATTTGCCTTGGATGTTTCCCATGACACAACACCCCAGTTATTTCAAAGGATGAAGGAGATTGTCATAGAAGTTGTCAACAACACGAAAATTCGGGAAAGCAATTGCCCGGAGGGAGCCAGAGTGGCTGTCGTGTCCTACAGCTCAGATACCGACCATCTCATTCGCTTTTCCGATTTCCACAGGAAGACGCAGTTGATTCAAGAACTCGCTGCTCTTTCTTATCAGAGATTGGCAAATAAAGCAGACCTTGGTGGGTCTATGAGATATGTTGCCAGGAATATCTTCAAGAGAACTCTCCCAGGGGCTACTGTAAGGAAAGTGGCTGTATTTTTCAGCAGTGGTCAATCTGTTAATCCAAATTCTATCAACACAGCAATCTTGGAATTCAGTGCTTTCAATATTGTTCTGGCAGCCATCACTTTTAATAACACCTCTGAGGTCAATCGTGCTTTAACGGTGAGAAAAAAAATCATCTTTTATTTATTTTACATTAAGTAATTGTATTTAGTTTTGTACAAGTTATAGCCGTAAATGTTGGTGACACACCTTTTTAGACACAGTCATTCAGTTGCACTAGCACACCAGAAGTTAAACCAATCCTTAGAAGACACAGAGACACATATTAAAAATTGTAATAGCAAAAGGTATGTAGACACAACATATATCATGAAAATCTTTTTGATATATTTAAAAAAAATACCATTTTTTGTTTGTTTCACATATACTCTGGGGGTTCTCATTACATTTGCACAACACACCTACTGCTGCCCGCACAGTAATGTGTCATGACGCAGAGTTTGGAAAGCTCTGCCATATACCATAGCGGCTCTCTTGACCACTGTTTAAAGCTTTTTATTTCTATTTCTAGATGGATGATTCTGAACAGTTTCAAGTCATTACCATTCCCAGAAGAGGAGATTATACACCCTTTTTACATAGACTACAGCTATGTACTATATGCTACGGTATGATCCATAATTTCCTTACAATTACATTTGGCAGCAGGAAACAACTCTGTTTTCTAATATTGCACCATAGGCCTGACAGGGTTTGGCAGAAGTCTCTGGACTTATTTAACAATTCACTATTGATGTTTACTAACTATAAATACCTAAATGAAGTGCACATTTCAGTTTTGATTTACCAAGAGGTTTTATGTCACCAGTGTTCGAATAACATATTTTCCTTTACACAGTATTAAATTTTATATAAATGTAAACATGAAAATAAAGTGCTCCTAACCAACAATTGTAGTGAAACTGACATCAATGCTGGACTTGCTTTGTGGCGTCCAAATGGTGCAACTGAAGATGGGAACAGAACCTACAAAGGCAAATTGCCAAAGGAAAAACTCAGTTGCTAATCCCAGTAAGAGTAGACCCCAATTAATAATAATAAATAATAATGTAATAGTAATGAAACTTTATTTATAGTCCCCTCTCTCCCGACGGGACTCGGGGTGGTTTACAGACCAAAAAAACATTCAATGCTCTACGCAAATACAAACAACTCAAAAATAATACAAAATAATAACCATAAACTTGTTACAAAAAGAGAAATTAACAACAAAATAGAAAACACAATAATCCATTTCTTAAGTAAATCCTGTTGATCCAATGGGTTCACTCTGATTGGGATGAGCAATTAGATTCAGGCCCATGGCATATATTTAGTAAGTTGCAGCTCTGCACTGCAAACAAGGAGAACAAGCATAAGGCATTGGTTTAGAGATAAGGAGTCAAGGCACTTTATTTGAACTATTTAACTTGTGAATTGCAAGCAAGGAAGGATATACCACACATGTTGAGGCCTCCCCACCTAACTTCTCTTTAACATTCCTTGTGCAAGGCACCCAAACCCTAAGCATAAAGCAAGTTTACCAGCCTTTATTTGAAAGGCTTTCCCAAAGAACTACTTCTTCAAGACCCACACCTGAAAGAGAAGATATTTCCAAGGCCATCCCAACAGGGAATCTCCTTCACATCCCTTAGATGCTACAAACTAAACAAGCAATTCTGGAGATCTCTCTTTCATCTAATGGTGCCTGCTGATGTTCACCATAATTTGTGTCTATTCTTCTCCCACTAGGCATAACATGGCTACCTATATAAAACAATACTCACTTCAAATTTTCCTTACTCTCACAGCTTCAGTAGATTGTAAACAAGACAGACAAAGAAACAAACAAAATCCTAGGAAAAGCCAATCTACAGCAGTGAACTTGGGCAAGGTAGGGGCCAGTAAATACAGCTCTTCCAGCAGGCATAGTACTGACTGTTCCAGAATTGAAATTTATTCACCAGTTAGTAAGTTAATCATTTTTTTAGTCCCGTTATTTAAGCTGATAAGAGGCATCAATTGTACATCCCCGGGCTAACTGGTCAGAGATTTCAAGAAACTGACATTTATTTATTTACAGTATTTATATTCTGCCCTTCTCACCCCGCAGGGGACTCAGGGCGGATTACAATGTACATATACATGGCAAACGTTCAATGCCATAGACATACAACATATACAGACAGAGGCAATTTAACATTCCAACTTTCCAGCTTCATGAGGGCATGCTCAATTTTGGCCACAGGGGGAGCTGCCGCTTCATGGTCCACTTGTGACACTGAGTGGAGTACTTCCTCATTCTTACGCATGCTGCTCGAAGGTTTTATGGTGTCGTAAATTAGTTAAATTAGCTTCCCCGCATAAAACAGTACATACATTTCCTAATTGACAGATGCAACTGTCTTTCAGGCTGCATAGGTCAACAGCAAGCTGGACTATTAATGGTCGGGAGTGTACTCTGACCCAGGCTGGCTTTGAACTCATGACCTCTCGGTCAGTAGTGATTTAATGCAGCCGGCTACTAACTAGCTGCGCCACAGCCCAGCCCATGTGAAATGTTGTCAAAAACATTTCAAGGATTAGTTTGTAAGGCATTCTAGGTAATGCTGCTTCCTGTGAGCCGTAGAATTGCTCTGCTCATAGATTTTCCATAAGAAAAAGCACCCTCATTGGCAGAGAAACATATCATGTGAGAGACTCCAATTGATATCCAATTTGTCATGGACATGATACTTGAGATCAGCAGAACATACAGACTTCATACAATTCAAAAGGCTTGAATACAGCCACTCTGCCAGCTGTTAAGGACCTTTCATCACAGCATTATTCACAACCAATTCTACACGGCTGCCCTTCCAGGAAAATAAGTCAGTGTAGCCACAGCTTTTAATTAGGCCATATAAAGATTGAAACAAACTTATATAAATAACACGATTAATCAGCTTGCCCTTGAGTCAGATTGTGGCATGCAAACCATGTGATAGAAGATGTGAACCAGTTTGATTCTGGGGAAATACTTTGGCTTTGAAACATAGCCTTGGCTTGACTTTGTGTTCAAGGCAGAAATGACTCCTAAAACATTGACCTGATCTTAATAAATGGATCTGTAAAACTTCTTTTTTCATTTCCAGATAAATGTAACCCAAATCTTGCTTGTGAACATACCAGAAGAAATCATCCACCATGGGCGTATGTGGACATTGCTTTCATTTTAGATAGCTCATGGAAAATGAACCCCAGTGAATTTGAGAAGCTGGGGAGTTTCTTAAGCAGGGTGCTTAACAATTTTGAGGTTTCCTCCGATCCTGGAATTTCTTCAGTTGGTGACAGAGTGGCTATAGTGAGCCATGCACCATCACTCTTCCAAACTCAAATCCAGAAAAATCCAGTAAAGAAAGAGTTTGACTTGGTGACCTATGGTGAGACACGGTTGATGAAGAAGCATATCCAGGAATCCTTACAACATCTAGGTGGAGCTCCTGCTGTTGGCCATGCCATTCAGTGGACTCTTAATCACATTTTCTCATCAGCTCCCAGCCTAAGGAAACACAAAGTTATTGTGGTTATATCTGCTGGGGAGTCAAGCCCGTGGGATAAAGATTTATTAAAGAAAGTGTCTCTCAGAGCCAAATGCCAAGGCTATGCCCTGCTGGTACTTTCTTTGGGACCTACTTACAATAGCACAGAACTTGAGGAGCTGGCAAGTCCACCCTTGGAGCAGCACTTAATTCAGCTTGGGAGAATCCACAAGCCTGATTTGGATTATGCACTTCAGTTCCTGAAAACATTTCTACACCTCCTTCGGAGTAAGTATTTCATACATGGTTTGAAAATAGTTCACAGCTGGGGCAAGACTCTTTCCATCTTACATTTAAAAATGGGTTATAATGAATAATATCACAATTGCTTTTACCACACTAGACTGTTTTGGCTTTATTTTCCACGTTCATTCTATTATTAGAGAACAAAGTGGTATCCTTCTTTCAGTGCTGATAGTCCCTGATGAGGTTGTTTTGGAAGCGCCAGGCATGTAGCCGGGGGGGGGGGGGGCGGGAGCTTGAGGGGCTTCAGCCCCCCCCCCCGAAATTCTCATGGTGGTTCGCGAAAAGGCCTTACTGGTGCATTATTTAAACTGTTATGTTTATTCATATCATGATCTGATCACCATACTCAATATATCCCGATATGCATGGGGGTATTGGGGTAATGATACAAAAGGTTTGCTAGGCTAGACCCTCTTTCACTCAGACTCAGCCCCCCCCCTGAAACTCAGCCCCCCCGAAACCCCCCCTGAAAAAAATTCAGCCCCCCCCCCCCGAAACGCAATCCTGGCTATGGGCCTGGGAAGCGCTTTAGAGATCTTTGGTTCCAGAACTCACTTTTGGGATTCCAGCACTCCAAATCCCACACTGGGAGCAGGGCCTGAAAGTTGTAGCCCCAGAAATGTTTACTGACCTCTGCCTGGTTCTGGATTCTTGGATTAATAATGGCACAAGGCACAGTAATATCAAGCAGCCTAGTGGTACAATCCCACTGTCTTTCTCAAGTATATAAGGTTTCCTCCACCTTGTTCTTTCATTGCCATAGCAGGAGCCAGCCAAGTCCTGGATAGCACTAAGAGAGGCATCCATTTATTTTTTATTTTATTTACAGTATTTATATTCTGCCCTTCTCACCCCGAAGGGCACTCTGCCAGATCACAGAATACATATACAGCAAAAATTCAATGCCAATTATATAATGACAAGACAACCAACAGACAGAGGTATATATAGGCTTTTTCTCATCATTAGGCATCTTTGGAGGCTGTGCTCGGTTCTGGCCACAGAGGGATGCTGTTACTCCATCTCCTTGCCAAAGAGCTTTCTTTGTTCATAAACTTCCCTCTGAAACACAGTGCCTAAAATACCTCCCCACTTAATGTAGTTCCTATTCATCTTCTCACATTGCTGTTTTTGATCCTCTAGGTGGGCGGGGAGCTAGGCTGAAGGTCAGGAGCTCACCCTGACCCGGCTTTGAACTGTCAACCTTTTGGTTGGCAAGATTTACTGCAGCTGCAGCCGGTGATTAATCTACTTTGCTAAAGCTGGACCTTTTAATGAGGTATATATTATATACCTCTTTTAATGAAATATATAAGGTCGCCCCTGTGCAACCCAGTTGCATGGTGGACCAACAAAAACAACATTCATTAAAGTTATGAAAAGAATGGCATTCCTCTGTGACTAGAAGTATTGTATGCACCTCAAATATAGTATATATCATCTTCTTGGTGCCATTGACTTCCGTCCACAGAACTTGTATCTTTTTTGTGAGCTCTGAGAAGGTCAGGAAAGCCACCTTTCTATGTTGGCCAGTAGGTGAAATGGGAGGAAGCCAAGTGAAGGGTTCACTCTGGTCCAATTGCTGGCTATTTAAGCAAGCAAAGTCTCAAGGTGTTGAAAAAATATTCTTGCAAGTATTCTAACCTGTTTTCAATTAGGCTGAATTATATTGGATTAATTGCAAGAATAAAATTATATTTTCCAACAAGCTGAGACTTTGCTTCTTCTCTACATCCCTTATATTGGGCATTGCCTTTGCTTTTTATATAAGCCAAGTCTCAGATCTCAGTAAATAGGAAACAAAAAATCCAAGCTAAATGTTGAGAAAAACATGTAACATGAAGTTAAGTGCTTTTTAGTTCTTTCTTTGTTTTCAGCAGCTATGCATAAATGAAGGGTTTCCCTATAACCTGAACAGAACTCTCTTTTTTCCTTTTTCTAATGGGATGCTTTGCTACTACAATAGAAACAAACGACTTTGAAGATGGGAAAAGGCTGTCTTAAAGTGTATTCTTAATTCAGAATTTTCAGTATCAGTGAAGACTAGACCAGAAATTCACTGCTTTAACATTTTAAGTGAGTTCATGAGCTTACAATAAAATCTGCAAGACAAAAGCAATGGAGAAAATGTGCATATTTGAAAAATTGTTGCCAAACGTTCTTTATCAATTAGAGAATGTAAATAAACATGCATCTATTTGAAAACTGTGTATAAAAATTGCATCCAGTTTGAGAAATACACATGGAAAAAAGTTGGAAAAGGAACTTTAAACTTTGAAGACATATTTATATTGATATCTTAAAACAAATATACACACAACAGTGAAGAAAACATGCTCTTATATTTTTCCTGCTTTTGACCCTTGTTCAAACTCTCAGATTAATTTCCAGCATTGTGCTTGAGCAAAATAAATCTTGCCAATACCTGAAACATTTTATCAGTATTATTTCTGTGCTCTTTGTTTCAAAACAGATGGAATCAATAGCTATCCGCCAGCTGAACTCAGAACAAAATGTAATAAGATCAACATTCAGAAAACCAAATACACATCAAGGAGTCTCAGTCTCATGTAAGCCCAACCATTTATTCATGAAGAATATTGTTGACTTGGTAGTCCAGAATAGATCACTCAGTTTCCAAAGTATAGAACATTCTATGCAAATCAAAAAATTACACGTATGCCTTGAAGGTAACAGGAAGGTAACGGCACTCCATGCAGTCATGCCAGCCACATGACCTTGGAGGTATCTATGGACCACACCAGCTCTTCGGCTTAGAAATGGAGATGAGCACCAACCTCCAGAGTCGGACACAACTGCCAGGGGAAAACCTTTACCTTTACCTATGTCTGGAAATAGAAATGAAAGTCTTCTGCATCTTGTAATGATGTTGGGCGTGATTCCAGATCAGCAACTTAGCTACAGAATAACATATCTGAGCAGCATCTCTTACTCTGATTCTCTCATCTAGATTTATGAGGCAGCAACTGCTGCAAACAACAGGATCTGTTCTCCTGTCAATTGGGATGAAGAAGACTGATGTTTTCACCCTCCTCCCATGAGCCATCTCTGGTGCAACAGTTAGAAGCAGGGTCCCTGTTAAAATCCCCTCTAACACCAGAGATTGCTTGCAGGAGAGGTTTGTTGTGTTTGTGTGTCTGACCAATCAGAAAAGAGAACCCTGTTGCTCATCATGGTTGCCTTTGGGTAGGTCAGTATTGTGAGACTTTCATGATCCCTATGTATTCTCTACTCTGTTAAATGTATAGGGATTGTGAATACTAACCAGTAGGCCTGGGTAACAACGGAAAAATTTGTTTCTAAAATCGATTCGTTTTTTGGGGTTTTTTGCGTTTCGATATTTAAAAGAATTCCGAAATTTTCCTTAAAAAAAGTTCGATATTTACGAAATTTCGTAAATGGTAAAAAATTACAAAACAATAACGAAACAATAACGAATCGATTCGTTAATGGCGGCCGCGATCGCGCAATACGCTAAAAAAACTTCTGAAGCTTCCCTCTCCCTCTGTTGTTGACTGTTGGTGTGATATTATAATTTTTTTTCACTAATTAAACAAAAAACAACTATAAAACTTGCCCCAGACATGCGGAAATAATAACGAAACGACCTCAAACCAATAACGAAACGAATACATAACGAAATACGAAGCATTTACGAAACGAATTGAAAAATTCGTTTCGTTTTTAAGTTGCTCCAGAATGGTTCGTTATCGCTTCGTTAACAAAAAAATAACCAATTTTTAACGAATTACGAATTAACGAAACGAAACCGCCCAGCCCTACTAACCAGTCATGAATGCAAAGCACTCGGTTACATGTTAATAGCTGCAAACATGAATTCCAGTCAATGTATGTAATTTTCAGAACTTATATTCTCTACTTCAACTGATTTAATCTAAATGCACAAAATCATTTGGTGAGGGAAGAAGGGACACTTGCCTAGCCAGACATATTAACCAAATCAATTTTGGCAATAAATGGTTTGACAGATGTCACAGCCAGATTGCCCTCACATCCACAAAATCATTTAGGATGGCAGAAGAGCCCCCTTGTGCCAGCAAGACTGCTGACCAAATGTTGGCGATTTGAATCTGGGAAGTGGGATGAGCTCCTGTCTGTCAGCTCCAGCTTCCCATGTGGGGACATGCGAGAAGCCTCCCACAGGATGGTAAAACATCCAGGAGTCCACTGGGCAACGTCCTTGCAGATGGTCAGAAGCGACTTGCAATTTCTCAAGTTGCTCCTGACATGGAAAAAAACTAGGATGAACTAGAACACACAAGTCAAACAGAGGGCCTGTCACTTAGTTTTATGTGGCCTTCAAGACTTTCAATGCCAGGACAAAATAGTTACATTTATAAAACCTTACAATGACAAACTATCATTGAAGGCTAAGTTGGCCCTCTGTGAAATTGATACCCCCTGTTTTAGATGGTTCCTACCTGAAATATTTACATGATAATTTTGAGGTAAATAGTGAGAATAAACAGGTGATGCCAATAATTTGTGGAAACATATGGCACGGAATTGATTAAAAATGGTCAAAATGCAGTTGTTTTATCGGTTTGTTGACATTCATCTTTGTGAATCCTCTCAAATCTTCAACCCCACAATTACTTTTCATATTTTTCAGATGATTAGAAGAAAAAAGAGAGAAACATTCTTTATCATTGATCAGAAGGCATTTGTATTTTTTTTTTCAATTACATCCAACGGTGTCATTTGAAATGACCCATTTGAAACATTTGAAATGTTTCAAATGTGCTCAACTTTTGGGAATCGCAAGAGCTAATGAGATGAATCATAGGAAATCCATGGAGGAGGTCTTATCATTTTTACTTTTCAAAGAAATACACATGATATATCAACAAGGCTATATCTTCTAATGAGCAACATCTGGAGACACAGACTTGCCTATCCCTGCTCTACATAATTGCCTGAAAGAACCTATAAGTATCTCAGACTTTCCTTTGAATGTGCATAAGGAACTGCAGTTAGAAGACTTGAATGGAAGCAAGTATGATCTGATTTCCCTGTATTTACATTTGAACTGGACAGTGCTTGTGCTGAACTTTGACTTGTACCTACATCTACTAATACTTACCATGACACTACATAGCATAATGACCTCAACAGCAGTATAAAATCCCCATTTCAAGGATGGGCATATTGTAGCCCTGCAGACAGCAGATCCCATCATTCTTTATCAATGGTTGTGTTGACCAAGATTAATGAGAGTTGCAGCCCATCAGCATTTGGAGAGCTGCCTTACCCTCCCACTTGCAGCAAAATGAGCAAAGCTATGTTTGTTATATATTGCTTTCCATGCACTTTACAAGTTGAAATTTACTTTCAAAACAAACCAGACTCATTTTAAATATTGTTTCTCATTTTAAAGTATCACATTGACATGTATGTGGCTTGGCTTGTTCTCTGCTGGAAACCAGCCAGGATTGCTGAACAGCACTGTTAAACTGGTAAATGTTCCTTAGGAAATGTTTGTCACTTAAGCCATTTTGTAAAAACCTTGGATACTCGGTAATGTTTCTGTTTTGGCAAGATGCAATGTAATGACCTCTGTTTGACTGAGCATTGTTGACGTAATTGTATTAAATGGCCTGTATCCGCTAATGAATTTGGCAGTTTAAAGGGTTCTGGGTTTTTAAAACAGAGAAAGTAAATAAAATAAGGCATATTGTGTGCTACAATGGCATATGCAATAAAGTAACATGTTTGTTTTCTATACCTGTGTTGTTCATTCCTACTCAATGGGCATGTGTTTGTACAATTTCACCCCCTTTTCTTCTTTTCTATAAGAAAAAAATTTCTTTTACAGTGATTCACTTATTCCAACAAAAATTTGTCAATTAATTACTTTCCCCTTTCCCCTACAAATGTGTGTGTGTGTGTGTATATATATTTCCAATGCTCTTTAATGAAACTGAAATTGAACACACAGGGATTGCCCTCTCATTGGACTGCCTTTATATGTCACTAATAATAATAATACAATAACTTTATTCCTATACCTTGCCACTATCTCCCCAAAGGGACTTGGGGCAGCTTACAAGAGGACAAGCCCACGTTACAAATAAAAACAGCATTAAAATTAATCAAATAAAAACATAACACAATCACAAAACATCTTATTAAAACAATAAGGCTGAGATAAAGTTCAAACCTGGGATCAGGCTCAAATAAGTGCTATGGGAGGAGGAGACAATAGCAGCAGTTTAGCTTTCCAACAACATCATGTAGAGATGTGCTATGCCAGCATTATGCAGCACCTATGCAGAATAGTAACATTGTGTAATGTATGTCAATAACTGAGGACTTCATCACACTAGAGCAGAGTTTCTCAAACTGTGCTCCTCCAGATGTTTTGGATTTCAGCTCCCACAATTCCTAACAGATGTAAAGCTGGCTGGGATTTCTGGGAGCTAAAGTCCAAAGCACCTGGGGGAGTACAGTTTGAGAAACATTGCACTAGAGCATTTATCTGCTTTAAATCCTGTGGCTACCTTCTGCAGAATTCTGGGCATTGGAGTTTAGTGAAGCCCAGTTTACAAACCCCAGAATTCTGCAGGAGGCAGCAATGGATTTAAAGTGGATAGATGCCCCAGTGTGATTAAGTCCATAGTGATTATGCAGAGTATACACCAACAATCTCAACATGCAACAGCAATACATAATGTGCACTAGCAATGTACAACATTGCTGCATGACACAATGACATTTCTCCCACTGCCAGCAGATATGGACTGCATAATGCTGTAATGCTACTCTAGCTAGGGACGTTATCATATGCTGATTTTCTCCCTATTTCCACACACTATAACGTCATTTTAAAGATGGAGTCCCAAAGAACCCATTTAACAAAGTAAGACTACTTCTGCTCTACACTATTGAAGCGGTAGGGGTCGTTAATACAAATGAGTTAAGAATGCATAACTCCAGAATGCATAAAGTGACTGTCAATTAATAATGGAATGGGTAAGTCACTAGGGACCTCATCATAAAGGCCCATGGATTTTCCTTCCATTGAGCCAAAACAATGGGCTCCCGGCAGGGGGTGTGGAGAAACCGTTGCTCCATGCATTGCCCACCTTACCGTGCCCCTCATCCCACAGGAAGAAGCAGAACTGCCTGGCTTCAGCCCATTGGCAGTGTGTGCCTCTTCCTCTCTCTCTCTTTGGCATAGAGCCTAGCTAGAAGTGTCTCTGCATTGTGGGAAGGGCTCCATGCTGAAAGTGAAGGAGAAGTAGCACACAATGGACAAATCGGCATGTGTGATGAGGTGGTAGGAACACTTAATATTTCTCTCTTGAAGTCCAACTAACAGGGCAAATAGTCTCCACAATGTTGTGCTTCGGTGACTTTCCAACAACTTGAAAGTCAAAGCCCTGCAAATTGTCAGGCATCACAAAAGCAACTAATGATACAAATTCCAGTCAAGTCCCCAAAGAATGAGAGTTTTGTTGCATAGTTTGCTTTTCTTATAAGTGTTTGTGTGTATGTTTGTTGAACAGGTAGCTGTAGCTGAGTCAGAAAGG